AACTTTGTGCCGACAGTTTACGAACGAGTTGGATTATTGTTCCTGTTTATCTACGTCTGTTACGCCCGTATGCACCGTACACGTTTAATCCAGATCAAGGATTTAATCGCGTTTAGTACCATAGCTAAATATGGTACTAAACGCGATTAAACCCTTCATCTGGATTAAACATGTACGGTGCGTACGGGCGTATATCTTTTACTTTTCCCTATTATTTGTTAAAGAACCATTTTAATTAAATATATTTGTAGTCTGACTAATAAAGTCGCAATATGGACATAAAGATTACAAGTTATAACTAAATTAATGTAGAAAAAGCTACTACTGGCAAACACCAAAAATTGCTTTATCCCTTTATAAAATCCTATGGTGCGTTTGCGGATCTGTTAATAATATACTAGTTTCCGAACACGGATATAGAGTTAGTAACCATAGGTAAACGAACAATAGGATCCATAATCTTTCTGATCCGAGTAAGTTTTGGAAACGCCTATAATATACTAAAATTATTATATATATTAGTTGTTCAAAAAATTGACTTTGAAGGCGCCATCTTCACAGAGCTGTTAGGTATGTACCTTATGAAGCATTTTCTATTAAGGTAATTTAAACTTAATCGACAAAATCAAGTCTAATATCTGGGGTTTCCGTTTGGCAGGCGAGTTCTGGGACACCCTGTATATAACTTATTATATCGTGGTATGTCTACTTTCCTTATCTGTTTTACTTACGGTATCAATAATTCCATTTATAATGGTTTTATAGGTTTGAATTTGTTCAAGATATCAGGGTAGCTATTCTTGAATTCGAGGGAATAGAAAACCGGTTTTGCCTCTTTATCTGCAACGCGCAAAATTTGTATTTTTATCTCATTCTTCCCTCAAAATTTCTACTCCCTGAGATTCAAGAATAGATACCCAGGAAATAATTCTCAGGGAAAATAGTTCCCGGTCTAATCACTCGTGGATAAAACATCACTTATTTTATGAGAGCAATTCTATCACCCTGTATAAATTGTCTCATTCACGAAATGGAACAATATAGAGTCTTTGAAATAAATGTTGAGTTATTCGTTTTACGACGACAATAGCATTACTTTTTATTTGAGTGTACAAAAGTAGTATCGATTATTTTTAATGTAATTAGTTTATTAATTTAATTTGAATAACATGCAATTCTTCTAAAATAATAAGGCTCGGCTTATTGGAGCTTTAGACCAAAAAGGGTTCACTTACTGTATATTTAGGTACGTACATACTTATTTGTTAAAAAATATAGTTAACATAATAAAATTACTATGAAAGGTAAGTTTTTTTATTTAAATAACTCTTTTTATTAATGTGTTCTTTGAGTATCTACTTACAATTAATTGCGTTTTTGTCTTAAATTGTCATAATATCTATCTGAATTTGCCCTACATTTTTTTTATTAGACTAAATAATAAACGTTCACATAACTTTTAGGCCAATTGATTTGGGCATAATTTCCAGAAAATTATAAGTAATTAATTATATTAAGGGCCGATCTTCTCATCTCTGACTATGAGAAAAATTACATGTAGTTATTTTCAACTTTACTCAGGGGTGAAAAGATTGGCCCTAAAATTAAAAAAATTAAAATAACTTACTAAAATTATTCATTATTTATTTACTATGTAAGGTACGGATAAGTCTATTTTTATTTTCAAAATATTCTCGGAATAAAAAATTGCCATAAAAATTTTATAACATCCTGTTCAAGTGATAATAACTTTTAACAATGTTTTTAATTACTTTTTTTCTAATTTTGACATAAAATGTGACATTTTTCGTAATCGCAGCAAGTATCAATAAAATGGTCTACTTTACGCAACCAGTTGCATAATGTTGAACATTATGAAACTGGTTTCGAAATAGCTATTTATGAAACCAGTTTCGAAATGCCTTATTTTATGTAACGAGTGAATATTTTCGAGATGAGCAGAGCGAGTATTTCGGTATTTCGTTACGTGTGTTATACATAGAATATTTTTTCTAAATTTGACTAGATTGTTTAAAAAATTACTAACAAATAGGCAACCAATATTACTACTTTCTGGTATTGTTAGGACCGATTCCACCGTTGTGTTAAACGGAGTTTAAAATGATATTTTTACATTAACAATGTCATTTTAATCTCCGTTTAACACAACGGTGGAATCGGTCCTTAGATGCGTATGATTAACTTCATTCTTTTATTGCCATAGAAAATAATATTAATTCATTCTCAACGACTTATTATTGTAGTTTATTGTTTATATTGTTTGTTAGAGTTATTTAGATTTCAAGAAATAAGTGGGTTATTTTGTCTTGTATTGTGTTTTAATTATTTTGTGCTGATTTAAAACGGAAACTAAGTACCAAAACAACATTATTACTAGAGGTTGTAAGTTTTACCAAATTTTATTTTTATAAATCAACATGTCCTTTTCTTTGTCATAAATATTCAATAATAATGTATATTATTGATTTTAAAACCAAAACAGGTTTATTTTTATTTTATTTTCGCAACTGGTGATATAATAAATTTTTCGAAACCAATATATTTCACAATGTTCAACATTATGCAACTGGTTATACGTAAAGTGATCATTTTGATATTTGCTGCGATTACAAAAAATGTCACTTTATATGTCAAAATCAAAAGAAAAAATTATTATGTCACCAGTTACTAAAAGAAAACAGAAAAAATTAAACTTTTTTTTTATTTTAAAATCAATAATACACGTTGTTATTGAAAGTGTATATCATAAGTGCAGATTAACTTATAAAAATAGAATTTGATTAAATATAAACCTAGTAATAATATTGTTTTTGTACTCATTTTCCATTCTATATCAGCACAAAATAATTAAAACAAAATACACGACAAAATTCAAGGAAAGATGGGATGAAACAAGAAACTGCAGAGTTGCCAAGGAACTTTTCAGTTATCCTGACAACATTAAATCAAACAAATGGTTGACTACGAACTAGACAGAATCTGCGCTTGGTTACAGGCATTCTGACTGGTCATTGACAAGTATGGAAGCATCTCCATATCATGGGGTTGTCAGAATCTGCACGATGCAGAGGGTGCGAACAAGAAGATGAGACAATCGAGCATATCCTCTACGATTGCCCGACGCTCTCATTTATTAGAGGATTTGTGTTCGGCGAGTATCGGCTAACACCGGCCGATATAAAGAGAAGTACCTCTAGGCGACGTTGTCAACTACATTAAATCTGTAGGCTGGCTCACGAGCTAGTTGGTGCCTATCACCTTAGGAGGATGCACAATGGGCCTAGCGAGGCCTAAGTGCCGTGGGGGGTAACACACCCTCCACACGTTACAGATACATGATAAAATAATCCACTTTCTTAAAATCTAAATAACATTAACAAGACATATAAACACTATAATAATAAAGTTGAGAATAAATACATATGATTTTCTATTTGTCAATAACATAATGAAGTTAAGCATATGCAACTAACAATACAAGATAGTAGATAGTACTATTTGTTGCCTAGATGTCAGTAACTTTTTAGCAAAACACAAATTTTGTAAACAATCTAGTCAAAATTAGAAAAAAAATATTATATGTAACATACGTTACGTTTTATCAAATATTTACTGGCAGAGACAACAAGAGTTGTCTCTGTTACTGGTTACATAAAAAGGCATTTCTCTACTGGTTTCAAAAATAGCTAATTTACAACTGCCAAATATCGGTAAATTTTTGTTTTCTAATATCTATAATACAAAATGTAATCCCCACAAAACATAATTTATTGGGGGACACGCTGCCCAGACAACACACCAAATCCCAGAGATATCCGCAGAATATCTTTTGTGGATATCCAATATATCCACAGGATATCAGAAATATTCCGTGGATCTAATATGGATATCTAAATGTCCGTCTATATCCAGGATATAGAAGATATCCTAATGGATATTCAGCAAAATATCTAATGGGTATCTTCCAGAAAATACAAGAAATCACAGAGATATCCACATAATATATTTTGTGGATATCCAATATGGATATCCAACCAAATGTCCTTCTATATCCCAGGATATAGAAGATATTTGGATATTCAGCAAAATATTTTATGGGTATCTTTAGTAGAGGTTCATAAGTAACCAATGATTATTGAATAACGTCGAAATAAAATAGCAGAGATAATAAATATTTTCAACACTCTGCCTTTGATTTTACCCACTAAGGAGAAAATCATCCTTATTAGGACTCTTCAGCAATAAATGAAAATTCTCGACTCCAGTCTCTAATGGAGTGATTAGGACACACATTTCGATCGAACTCAATTACGGCGGGTCGAGCATGAGTAGATGCAATAGTGGTATCGCCATCTATACTTAGTAAGCAGAATCAAATAACATCTAGTGGATATCCACGATGGTTTGCGTTCGCGCCTAGACTTTGATATATTTAGTGGATGTTCATGGGATATTGAGTACACCTTAAAAAAATTAATTTTAAATATCTGAACGGTACTATTAGCCACAATGGCGTAATGTTTTAATAATTTGCTATATAATTACTATTATTTATGGACATTTGCATGTCTATAAATTACATTTCATGGATATAAAATAGATATCTATACATTATTCAGTGGATATTGGGATGTTCAGTAGATATCCAAAGGATTTGGTGTGCTGTCTGGGTGAGTAGGTAGTATATATTTTATATTGAATTTTGTAAATATTTTCTAATAGTATTCCCTATATTATTTTTGTAAATGAAAACTCCGCTAGATTCTGCGTATTCTTTTATTTTAAATATATTTATTGCGCTCCAATATGCCAAACATAATTTTTGGTGTCCAACAAGCTATATTTTTAATTGAAATTAATAGAAATCCTCTACCAGGACGTATAAATCAAATGCATTTAAATGTGTTGAGAGGTTCATTGATGACGTCACAAATTGGCATTTGGCAATAAATGCACTTTACAAACAGATTTTAGAAACTAGACTATCCTGTTTAATAGTTAATCTTTGGTTTCTTGCTATAGGCTTGCGCGCTGCCTGCAAGCTGTCAGCTGTCACATGCTGTCATTTTTGATTGTTTTTTGATGATTGCCTGACTGAGTGTGGTGTTTCTGTTTTCATTTATTTATGATGCAAAAGTGAAATAACTTTTTAATTTTAATGTTTTAATATTACCTTTAATGCGATATGCGATGTTATCTAGGTATTAAAAACAATGTGATGTCTTGCTTTTTCTGATAAATAGAGCTTAATTATGTAAACACAAAAATTTGTGCTCCAAATAGGCCTAAAAGATGACGAAGAAGTTCGAATTTGATTGGCATATCCCTGTTCCTGAGCCCCTTTTGACTGGATGTGTATTCGATAGATGGACTGAAGAACGGGATAACGTTGAAGTGGAACAACGAGCATTATTTAAAGTCGATGAATATGGCTTCTTTATTTACTGGAAGAGTGAAGGAAAGGTAATTCAAATGTTTTTTAAATTGTTTTATGGGAATATCCGGAATTTGTAATAATGAGTTCTATTTTTGTTTTGTGTTATAATAGATGGCCTATAATCTTAATAATAATTGTTATTGTACTCTATTTAAAAGTAACTATTTTTATTATTATATATCAGGACGTTTGCTATTTTACTAATCGTAACTGATAAACTATTACATTACCTAAATAATCTAAGCTATAGTTTCATTTTTTTCAAACATACATCCACTGAATGAGGAGGGATATTGTGAATATCCATTTTTGAGCTTGGAATATTTTTTAAGTTTAGCAATAGGTATCCATTTTTTTGCATCAATGGACATCCTATAAGTATCTATTCAAAGCTATTGTTAAATATATATTCTTATCTGTTAAGTCTGTAACGGCCCACCCCTTTTGATTATTGTTTATTCTCTAAAATTTTATTATTTACCTCTTAATTTTGTTTTACTTTAATTAATTATAAATAGTGTAGTGATCCTCTAGTTCAGTGTTTCTCAAACTTTTTTGACGACGGAACCCTTTTGAAAAGCGAAATATTTGACGGAGCCCTAATTTTACTTTGCAACCCTGGCGCATTTCTAAAAAAAAGTATTCGAGCAAAATCAGATCCTTAATGAAATCTAAAAAAAGGTCCTCATACCAGGTCCTCCCTTTTGTTGCGGCGAACATCCTCATAGTGTTTTTTTTATTATGACTATTATTTTCACGGAGCCCCTACAGAGGCTTTGTAGAGCCCCAGTGCTCCGCGGAGTACACTTTGAGAAACACTGGTCTAGTTAATTAATTGATCATTTATATACCCACATTGTGATAATGTTAATTAAGGTAAACCAGGATTCGATGCAAAGTTTGGTGCAAATTGATAAATAAAACCATACAAATTTATATTTAAACCCTTTTATTTTTCATACTTTAAATGTAATGCAATAATTAGCAAAGTATATTACAATAAATATGTACTATTTACTGAAATCTCACTTAAGTCCCGTTTAAACATAGACCACCATTTGCTATCAAGTTATATTTTGATGACCAGTGGAGTTAATGAACAGCGTGAATTTGCCAGTTGGTTAACTACTGTGTTGATGTTTATATTTTTATTTAGCTTGATTCTATTCTAGATATACATAGAATTGTACCCTCTTAGGTAATTATTTCGATGAGTGTAGAGGTGATAACAAACAGGTAACAACGTCAATTCGCCAGTTGGTTACCTAGTAGAATGGGTGGATTAGTATAGGTGCTCTCCTTGAGCTATCCAAGAATACATAAGAATACACAATTTTTATAATTTATATTAAAATGACTCAAATTCACCCATCGAAAAACAGATGTCTAACCTAACTGTCTTCATCTACATTGATAATATTTTGAAGAAAATGTCAAGCCCTTTTTCAAATGAAACCTTGGTGGTATCTCAAAGAAAGTTACATAACTCTTTTGACTCACCATTGAAAATACAGACATTAGATTCGTCTATACTAGACATTATGTACTAATTTTATGAAGCGTTGTGATTGCGTCTATTTAGGTACGCCGCAGCGTTGAGCGTCGCCTTGCGTCCAGACGCCTAAAGTCGTGGCGGAGAGGAAGGTATTTATTACGGTCTTGCATCGGGACAGATATACAGTAGAAAATACTTGGTGGTGCTATGCGATGAAGGGTGTCGTCAAGGATATTATGAAGGAAATATTTATCAAGGATATTATAAAGGAAATATTGGGTATGTAGAAAGGTAGGGAAGTAGGGCGGCGGTACGTGGGGCATCGGGACGTTGACAGCTTTTGGGGGATAGGAGGTATTGTAGGATAGACGTCGGTAAAGAAGAGTGTTGAATTAGGAAAAGTACTGAACTTGAAATATAACTGGATACAATATAATAAATGAATTAATGAAATAATAATGAATGAATATAAAATAATCCAATCTATATAAAATCATAATGAATGCTCCCGAGTCCTCGGGTTCGGGTCTTTATACCCGTTTTAATAGCTTTTTGTGACGTCAATTTGTCGTAGCTCCGGTGGGAACGAATTTGGGTGGTAGATTTATTATGCTTCTTGAGAACTTCTTGAAATCTTGGCAAAAATCGGTCTTAACATTTGAAACTCGAAAGATAAGCAGGTTAGGTGTTTTAATGATTATTACTTCGTGAAAATAAATATGTTTATGGAGGTTTTTGGATCGGATTCTCATGCGATAACTTTTATCTTTCCTGTAATATTAGAGACCCTGCGAACAGAAATATTGCTTTTATTTATTAAGCATCATAGATAGGATTTAATTATTTTAGATTTTTCGTAAATGTAGGAATTTGAATTTAATAAGAATGCAACTTTTCTTTAATAAAATGGAATTAATAAATTATGAAGGTACCTGGCTGAGGTAGGTTACAAGTCCTTATATAAAAAAATACAAATTGACTTCCAATATCGACTACGGTGGTGTAGGTGTCTACGGCGCGGCATTCATTTGTCAGCCAATTTTCTGGTAAAACGAGACACTGTTTCAGATCCTACGGAAGACCATGTGAATTTATTTGCATGGTTCTCTATAGGATTTGATGGATGCCATATTAACAGAAATTTAATTTCTGTTGATATGATATCCAGATTATTAAAATAAAATCACCATGCGCTACTGTTTTCGATGATGATGGTGGGTGGGGTTTTCCAGGTTTTCCTCACCTGTAAGTCAAATGGCACCATCAATCATCTTTAAGTCGCCCCGGAGCGCCACGGCAAATAATAATAATAATAATAGCCGTCCATTTCCCCGCACAAGCTCAGATTTTGGGGTGAAAATTCACTCGTAAGGGGGTGAATTAGGGAGTGTATTATTATTAATTCAGATAATTACTATTTAATGTCAAAATCAGGTTGAATTAACTAATCTAATTGATTCTATTTCCTCTTGGAATTATATATCAATGTTTTTAAAATTCTCATTTTCTAATAAGTTGGGTATTCCAACAAGAGTTTCTGAATGTTGATAATAAATAAAAGTTTTATAAAAATTATATGTGAAAGACAATATCAGCCAAATGAGCACCACACCTCATTTGACAACACAACTATTTTATTGACACTATTTCTATAACAGTTGTGCATATTTATGGCATTATCTCGCAAATCAGTTGTCAAATCTCTTCTTCTAACTCCTGACCTTTTTGGGGGCAGTTTTCATAACATCTGCTTGTAATATATTCCCACAAAAATAATTTAATGGCACCAAGTCACAGGATCGCAGTTTTTTCTGAGAGACGATTTTGTACACCAAAGTAATCAGGAATTCCACAATATGTGGCTCTTACAGAAGACCCATTTTCAAAATAAGTTTTAACAATGTAGACAAGGGATTCTACTAAACGCTGCATTGCTACAATTTATTTATTTATTTATTTATAATACAATACTCTACAGGTCATAAACCCAATTACAGAGCAGGAATTGACAGAATATAATTATTAATAGATCACATTTTTTATATGAATGTTAAGCACATAAAAAGAACTTGTATTTCGTAATAGGTAACAAATTAACTAAGATAAAAAGTGAGATTTTATATCTGACAAATTGCAACTAAATATATCAAGTTCATTGACAATAGAATTTGTTACTGTACACATGGTATGGAGCGGTGAATTTTCCAGAACATTTGTGCGAGATGTATTTATATAAAAAGTATTCGGGTGTCTGGAAGAAATTCTGGGAATGCAAATATTAAACTTTTCTAATAAGGTTGGGCAGTCAATAATACTTTTAATAATTTTATAAGTTACTACTACACTATAATAATCACGCCTTCTATCGAGACTGAAAAAGTTATGCTTTTGTAGTAATTCAGAGTGAGGTGTACCTATTAGAGGATAAATGCCATCAGTTTTCAGGCTTAGCAGTTTTAAAAATCGTCTTTGAATTGCTTCTATTCGATCTATATGATACTGATAAAAGGGGCTCCACACAACTGAAGCATATTCTAACTTTGATCTTATAAAAGCATAAAATAGAGTTTTTAAGGTAGAGGTTTCTTTGAAATCACTACTGCTACGTGCAATTAATCCGTACATTCGATAGGAGGAGGATACAACATTATCAATATGCTTATTAAATGATAGTGCAGTGTCAAACGTGACGCCAAGATCAGTAAATGTTTTCGGTCGCTCAAGAGCAACGTTTTCTATTGAATAATTAAATATTAGGATATTCGTTTTTAAACTGTACGACATAACTTTACATTTATCTGGGTTTAGTGACAAGTTATTTTGATAACACCATTCAACAATCCGTGTTAGGTTTGCTGAAAGGTTCTCGCAATCACCTATCTTCTCTACAAGGCAGTATAGTTTTAGATCATCAGCATACAAAAGCAAATTTACATTTATAACATCGGCAATATCATTAATGAACATAATAAAAAGGAGGGGTCCTAGATTCGACCCTTGTGGAACACCAGAAGAAGCACTATATTCAGCAGACCTAAAACCATTAAGCTGGACATATTGCTTTCGATCCCATAGATAGGATTGAAATAGTGAAATTAAAGAAGGAGATAATCCAAAAGCTACAAGTTTGTTAAGCAGAATGCCATGATCAAGTCTGTCGAAGGCCTTAGAAAAGTCTGTGTAAATAACATCAGTTTGGGCTCTGTTATCAATAGATTCAGCAATATATTGGGTAACGGTCAGGAGGTTGGTGACTGTTGAACGACTTTTCATGAATCCATGTTGATTTATACTTATATTACAACTTACATGACGATATATAACTCGCTCTAACAGGATTTCAAAAACCTTTGCAAAGTTGCATATAATAGAGATAGGTCGATAATTTGAAATATCTTGTCTATCTCCTTTCTTGAAAATGGGACAGACCTTTGAGGATTTCCAGACCTCTGGTATTGTAGCCGATTTTAAACAAATATTAATTAGTATGGAGAGGGGACGAGCAAGCACAGAAGAACAATCTTTTAGGACAAAAGCTGGAATATCGTCTGATCCGGTGGTCTTTTTTGGCTTAAGTGATCTTAGTGCCTCATATACTTCCTCTTCACTGAAGCTTGTAATATTTAAAAAGTGATTATTATTTGTCCCAGAATTGGGTTGAAAAGGGGAAGAAATAGTATAGGACTGTTTAAAAAGATTTGCAAAACCATTTAGAATATTAGAAGGCCCCTCCAGCATTTGACCTTCAAAATTCAATACTTGTGATATTTTGGAACTACCTCGTTTATTATTTATAAATGCCCAAAATCTGTTTGGGTTGTTATGTATTTCTTCCTCAGTTTTGCCTAAAAATTTCTTGTATGCAACATCAACATCATGCTTTATTTTCGCCCGAAGGTGTTTAAAATCTTCAAAGGCCTGTAAATTGCTTTCACGCTTGTATTTGCGCCAAATTCTACTTTTAGCCTGTAAATCTTTAATAATGCTACCATTGTACCAAGGAGGATATTTATTTTTGGATTTAAGTGTATATTTGGGACAGCAACGATCGAAAACATTATAAAGCTTGCCATAGAAAATATGTGGATGCATCTTCTGAATTATCAAACGCTTCCAAGAAGGTCCAGTCAATAAGAGATATTTGTTCATACATTTGTGGAAAGTTGGCTCTTTTGAAGTTATAACTGTTCTGAAAACAGGATTGCAATTTACATTTGAAGTTATCCTTTATCTCTAGTACTTATACAAGTAATATCCAAAGCAGGATGATGTCGATCTTCGGTTACAAATGGATCCAGTGATTTCTCCACATGACATTTTTTATTAAAAAAAACCAGGTCTAGTAGTCTATTAAGGTTATTAAATACAAAATTATTTTGAGAAAGATCAAAAATTTGTGAAAAATTATTAAGGGTAGTGATTTCCCTATTAGTTGCACCAGAATCCAGATAGTTAGCATAGTCGCTAACATTAAAGTCTCCTACAACGAGAACTGTATTATTATGTAATATATGCAACAATGCCAGAGCTTCAAAAAGTTGTTCAAACTCAGTTAGTGGAGTTTGAGGTGGTATGTAAATATTTAACAAATAAATATATTTATATAAAAAGATTATTTTAACAACTATGATATCAATCAATTTAAGCTGAGGAAAGTTAAAATCAGATAGATTAATTTCTACGGAAACAAAGTCTTCATGTACCCCAATAAGCACACCTCCACCTCTCGTTAAAGAAGTCTGTTCAAAATTACGATCCATCCTGTATATGTTAAAATTATCCGGAAATAATTCTAAATTGTTAATGGATGAGTCAAGCCAGGTCTCCGTTAACGCAAAAACACGATAGTTGCTTTGAATTACTGAATTTAGAATCTGGCTAGTTTTTGTCTTTAAACCTCGAGTATTTTGGTAAAAAATTGATAAGGTGTTCGTATCTTTAACGAGACCTGGCTTTGAATTTACGAGGGGAATATGAAAATTTCCCTTCAATTGCTATTCAGAAATTAACATACCATTTTTAAATTTTTTTAAGGTTTCTGCATACGAGGCGCATTTATCTTTTTCCCAGACAGCGTGATTAATATCTACATCTTTGTTAGCTAGTTTCATACAATTAGAGCATTTTTTAATGGAGGATTTACACTGATTTAATTCATGGGCACCCCCGCAAATCGGGCAAGAAATTGGTTTGCTACAGTTATGAGAGGAATGGTTAAAGTCGTTACACTTATAACAGCGGAATATATCAATGCCGTCATAAACAGCACAACTATCATAACCGACGAACAAATTTCCCGATTTGAGAGCCCGCTCATAAACTAGTTTATTAACCTGGATAATTGACTGCCAGATCTTAGGATTCTTTTTCGTAGGAAATATTTTTATTATTTTACATTCTAATTCACCTGAAAATATTTCGGGGTTACCATTTAAAAGATGTTTTCTAAGCTCATGTTCTGGGTAATTCTCTGCCATACCTACCACTCGTAGTCGAGGATGCACGCCAGCAATTTCTTTAACATCATAGGAGTCAGCCATTTTTTCTTGAACCAGTTTTCTAATTTTTTCAGTATCAGAGTGATTACAGCAACCGATAAGAATTCCTCCATCTTTAATAGTCTTAACCTTTGCCAATTGAAGATTTTCAGCTGTTGGATCAATATGTCGCAAAATATCAGTCTTTGTTTTTGATATTTCCTGATTAGTTTTTGGACGAATAATTATCGCTGGGTTTGACTTATCTTTCAATATATCTGAATACTTCCGTTGTTCAAAAGTAGGCACGTTTGTGGCAGCCTTTACAACGTCACATTTCATAGATGTAACATGATTGTTTATTGTAGAAACAGCAGTATCTAGTTTAGTTTCGATAACTTTATGCAAACGATCTTCATTTATTACAATGCATGACTTTATACAATCTGAGCATTTCCAGGACAGCCCCGGTACATTCTGCAATATTTCTATTAAGTTGTCGATTTTTGTAATGCAGATAACATGAAACAAGTTTTTGCAGCCTTCACAAGTAATGCTAGGTCTCGTTCTGCTGATCGCTGAAAGACACGTTCCACAATTAACCATTATGAAAAAATCATATTAGAGAACTATTCAATTTTCATTAACGGCTTTTTATTTGGGCACAGATAATTCACAAACTAAGCACTTCACAAATTTTTACTATTTTTAGTGCACCTTTTCCAACAAAAAAACCAATTTACATCGGAGCGCGATGTGACGGCAAACCGACACAATGTAGTAATATGCCAGATTTATCAAAAAAAAAATAGGTTAATGATAAGTAGCCAAGAAAAACATTTAGAAACTTATTGGAATACCTTATGGTATCATATATCTTTTTATGCACTTCTGACTAAAGTGAACAAATTGTGTGAAGAATAATATTGTATAAATAGTTTATTATAGCTTAATAATGTGATCAAATTATAAGAATTTTTAAAAAAGTGTCATGGTTTTGTGATTTTTTATTGTTTAAGAATTTGTTCAAAAGAATTACTCTGTTGTTTTTTTTTTGTAAAGTTTGTATTTTGATGTATTGGAAATTTATTTTTGAATCTTTCTGTTTATTCAATTATTTAGGATGGTGATGTCATCGAGCTTTGTCAAGTAAGTGACATCAGAGCAGGGGGCTTACCTAAAGATCCAAGACTCCAACGAGATCTTGTAAATAGACATGGAGCTGATGTGGAGGAAAAATCTCTTACTATTTGCAGTGGAACAGACTACATTAATATTAATTATCAACATATTGTTTGCCCAAATATTGAAACTGCCAAGGTAATTATTCAGTTTTATATTGGTTTTTTTTCTTTTTTTTTTTATTTGGTCTACATTTTGGTAAAAAGAGGGATGGATATATTATAAAAATAATTGTATAAGAACATTTATTTTATCAAATTGTAGATGCAAAAGTTTGGTGTGTGCTATACTACAAGAGTTTGAAAATACATTTTAGCTATTTTATTTTCGAAATTATTAACTTTTATATCACTTCTTAGAACTAATATTTTGGTGGATTGCATGTAAGAACCAATTTCTAATATAAATATATTTTTTCAACATCAACTTTCATGTATTAATGCATTCTTATAAGCATTTATTTTATAAATATTCATTACAGTTAACCAACCAAGTCTATATTATAATTTTTTTATCAAATTAAAATTTTATTAAAGTGGAATGTGTCCATTTTATAATATCATGGACACTAATTTTAGTAAACAAAAAATTAGTTATTTTATTTACCACACCAGTAACTACAATATAATAAATATTGAGTGTTCATGAAACTTAATTTTAAAGGTATGGTTGGATGGATTAAGAAAAATTACCCACAATGTGAAAGCAAATAATTTTTGTCCCATGACATGTTTGAAAAAACAGTAAGTCAATGGATATATTGCATGCATGCTCAAATATTTATCCAAAATCAATGTTGTATATATTGTCTATATTGATATAATGTTAATACTTATAAAATTTAAAAACGGCATTTAGATTTTTTTATTGTAGTTTATATTCATACATATATATCAATTATATCATAAATAAATGTCTAATAAAATTGCAAAAAAAACCTTAGTATGACATTGATACGGCAGTTTTATTTATAAAATAATCCGTTTTTAAATTTAAAAAAATATCTAGTGAAAGTGTTTGTGAATGAAATTGCATTTTGTTTATTGCATGGCTTCTTGCAAATGATAGGCATGGCAACAGAGCTTAAGGAAAATCACTCATAACAATAAAATTGTGAATGTCTGCCCAAGAACAACTTTGATGAAACAGTGAGTCTCTTTTTGTTCACTTAAAATAAGATTTATTATTTTTAACACAAAATTCAGATACTGCATACCATTGTTGATGCAAAAACTACACATAAGCATCACCATATGGTTACATTATTTATAAAATAAACAAAATCTTTTGTTTTTTAGTAGTCTGCTTTTTGTTTTAAATATAAATCACATCAATTTTATTGAATATTTATATAATCTGAAAAAAATGTGAAAATTAATAAAATAAATATAATCAGTTTGTACAAAACTGCCTTTATAAGCATAAAAGTCGTATCTGACTAATAATGATAAATATTTCAAATACAGCAATTCTGTTTAAAAAGACAGCCCAGTTTGTAAGATAATTAGTTTTGAATGTAAAACATTTATTCCTGCTGCAAATAACTTTATAGATTAAAAATATGATGCCCTAGAGTCCAACATTTACAATATAGCTAAAAATAGAGATATGACTTTTATGCTTAGAAAGACAGAAAATGTAACTTAACTCGCTAATATATGAAATAAATGGAAGTTATCAGTCGAGGGTAAGCTACTAAGGTCAAAGCGTACCCGTATTTCAGAAACCACCTAAAATTCTTAAAATAATCGGATGGTTTATGACGAATCGGACATTGATTTATAACAACGAATCGGATGATTTACAACGAGTTGTTTTTTTTTAGATGGTCGGTAGAATGACGACGAGGATAGTTTGTTTTTGTTACAAGCTTGACGACCTTTTTTTATAATGATGATTGTTTAGTTAGAGCATATAAATTAAAATAATCGGAAAGCGAAATATTATTCCCATTATTAAAATCATTCGAATACCAACATTCCGATTATTACAATCATCCGATTATTCCCATCACTAATGATTTTGTTGATTTCACTGAAATCCACCTTAATTTTACCCTATTTCGGTGATAACACCAAATTACTCTTAATTTTTTATGAATTCGGTGATTTCGGCAAAATCATTGCATACATTTTGCTATGATTTCTTTATAAATTGTGTTATTGTATATTCAAATATCCTTTTTTTTTTTGAGAGCTCTTCACTTGATATTTGGTCGACATTTTTTTTTTACTTTCTTCCTTTGTTTTTTGATCCAAGCTACTGCGTTTATAGTTCTAAACGACAAATTGATTTCAGTGATAATTTCGACCATGATTTTCAGTGATGATTTCGGATAATTCGAGAGAATTTGTAGTGATTTCGGTGAATTTTCAAGTGAAAACGTGTACCAGTATTTCGGGAGTGACTCACACCTCGTTATCAGTATAAGTCAATTAGAAACATACCGGGTACCCAATTACTCCAAAATAACGCAAAGATATATTTTTTGCATAGTTGTTTTTATGGTTTTGCGAAAAATTAAAACTAGTGTTCGCCCAGTAGTCGAAATTCGACCATAATCATTTTTGAAAACATGCATTTGTATGTTTCTAAGATTCTTTTTTTTTTATTGTACATTTAAATTTGTTCATTGTATATGTGAGACCACTAATTTTTATTAGTCAGAGCGCGTCCCGCCAACGAAACGGGCCAGACGAGAGTTGTATAAATTCGAAAAAAAATTCCAGAGCCCCGGGAGCGATTTTACGTTTCCATGTTCAGTTCAAACCGACGCGGTCTTGAAATAAACACGGGAAAGTATTGCAATATTGCAACCTGGAGACGTTACACAAAAAAGACAACACATTCGTAAATGGCCTAATTTTTCTTTATAAAAGTACTCATCACAAAAGGATCATATAACTTACGTTTAGAGCAATGAAACAAAATTGTGTTAAATATTTAGTAATATAAAAGTGACTTAACTAAACTAATTTTTATTTGTATACTTATATCAACAAAAAATAATGACGAAAAGATTGGTAAGTAGTAGGCATAGTCTATACGTACCTATAGGTATAGAAAACATGTTTTAATAGTTTAATACATCTTTCGTAGTAGAAAATTAGTAGGTACCTAACATTATTAGATTATGCGATACTTTTTGTGACTGGTGTAGATTTTATTTGTTTTACTATGGAGCATTGTTGAGAATACAGCCTCTAACTCAAATTGGCGCTTCATTATCCAATTTGTCTTTGTTTCTAAAGAAAGTGCACTAACTAAACAACTACATTGTTCATCGTAAGTTCCGGTATAAAATAACGCACACTGCACCCTGCAAACATAGTTAACCAAAGAGTGTTCTTCAAACTTAAAAATTTCAAAGTCTTTAGTGTGTTTACGAAGGAAACTTTTTAAATCTTCCAAATTAAAAACTGCGATAACCTCAAACAAAACGTAAATAAAACAATTTTAATCAGCTGTTGTTACAATCGATCACTTTAAGTAGGCAACCTGTGAGAGTCAGTATATTAACATTTCGTCCTTAAGATCAAACCGGTTTGGATGTGAGCAAATACGGCTTGTTTCCAAACCAATCCGTGCGTGGTTCATTGTTTGGCCCCTCGATATCAACACGGGTTTGCCTATAAATATTACATTAGTTTCCCGTGTTTATTTCAAGACCGGATCGTTTTGAACTGAACACGGAAACGTAAAATCGCGCCCCGGGAGGGAGAATCAGAAAAATTTTTGGTACCAAAGCATTCGCCATTCGGCCCCATGAATTACCTGTATAAAATAATTTCTTCAATTTCATTCTGAAGTCACTCTTGACGACTTTTGAATTGGTGGGAGGGGGGTGAGGATGTGGTACCAAAAGTTCACGTCGGTTCATTTTTCTAAGTCTAACGGTTCTATAATATCGACCTCCTCTGGGGTGAGGGGAGAAGTAGTGGGAGGGAAGTTGAGCGGTTTGAAATCATTTCAGGAGGGGCTTTCGCCCCGCTTTTAGTTTTTTCTATCCCTCCCCATTTAGGCAAGGTATAGGAAGAGGGGGGGAAGTTGGAGGGGTGGGTGAAGTACTTTTTCGCTCTATCCGTACATGCGATATTGTCCATGTCGGTCCGAAATTAAAAGGTGCTCACATTCGCTATAGGCTAATTTTATTAGCCAACCATAATTCATAATTGTAGATCAATGGAATTCATATAACGAAGGTTGGTAAAAAAAACCATTTCCAATTTTTTTTTATTAAAGCTCGTCAATAGCTACTAAACAAAAATTAAAAAAAGAAAATATGTTTACAAACATAAGAGAAAATGGCACTTAACTATTTTGTCTTTGCTTATTTAATAATAATAATAATAAAAGTGCTTTATTGAAACTTAAAAGTTACAAAAGGCCATTGATCGAGGTCCTTCAGCCTATTTGCTTATTTATATATAGAATTACACTTGATTTATTTGCGAAAACTTTTTTGTAAACCTATCGAAAATGAAAATATTAGCAAGTTATGTCACTTTTTGTACACGCTGTATATTAATGTATAATTAAACATGCTTTGTGTTATGGTCTTCAATAAAGTCTCTTAACAAACAAAAACAATGTTTATAAAACTTCTTTTTTATCTGTAAATTTCTTTATATTTCCAGTATTATTGAGGAACTGAAAATGTTTGCTCTTGAGATATGTCCTAAGAAATACGTTTTTGTGTTTCTATTATTGTTTCAGTATTGTAACTTATTAATGTTAAAATCAAAGCAATGAAATAATTAAAAAAGAATCGTTCATCTGATACAAAGTGTGTTTTATATCTTAGGAATACATGATTGTAAAATATAAAGGGCCACATTTGTACATACCATAAAATATAATTTCCATTAAACATGCTCTACTTGATCTTAAAAATCTAACTTATGATCTAACTCGGAAAAATATTGTATTAACCCAAATGTATACTTTAATAGTTGACATTTTTATGAAAAAGTGAGCCAGTGAAATTTTGTAGACACAGGTCTTAACAAAAATGTTATAATCGCACATGTATCATTGTTAGTTGCGTCAAATTATAGCATCTGCCTTCTGTTTGTCTGCATTTATCTATTTTCTGAAATTGCAAAATCATTTATATAAATGTCCTGACCATTTTAGTTGGATGAGGCTTGGATTTTCAGTGGACCAAAAAGGTAAAATACCCGTTAAAGTTATCGCCCGAACTTTTGCTTCTGGAAAAACAGAAAAGCTTGTCTACCAAATATTGTTAGAGCTTGATTTACCATCTGGCAAAAATGATACTATTGAACCAGAAGCATTTACTTTTGACAAATTCTACTCTTTGTATCACAAGATCTGCCCAAGAAATGATATCGAGGAACTATTTAGAAGCATGTAAGTATATGAGTAAAAATGTATGTGCTACTAACCCCTGAAATGTTCCTTTTTTCATTTTCAGTGCTTCAGGAAGTGCTGATTATTTAACGCTGGACCAATTTATAAATTTTCTTAATGAAAAACAGCGGGACCCTAGATTAAATGAAATCCTCTATCCTCTGTATGACGAAAAACGTGCCCAAGAAATCATAAACACTTACGAGCAAGATGAGGATTCAAGAACTGCAGGAAAACTTACCAAAGATGGTTTAATTAGATATTTAATGTCCGATGAAAACGCGCCAGTATTCCTCGACCGCCTAGACATTTACATGGAAATGGATTTACCACTTTGCGCCTACTATATTAATTCTAGTCACAATACTTATTTGTCTGGGCGACAATTTGGTGGGAGATCGTCTGTTGAAATGTACAGACAAGTATTGCTGGCAGGATGTCGCTGCGTTGAACTTGACTGTTGGGATGGTAAATATTTTTAAATAAATGCATTTTTGTATTTAATTATTTATAATATCAATATTGTCAACTTAATTGAGGTATCTTGAGACAAAATTATGCCCACTACCATTTTAACAGTTGTGAAGGAGAGGGGTATACAATATGTTAAGTTTGCCACAATGACGCCGAAGAACGGTATAGAATAAGCGATGCTATTGATTAGACAGGTAGAACAGTCCTCTCTAGCCCACTAGTGGTAGAGATGTATCCATCTGTCCAATTATGGCAGCCTCTCTTTATTTTTCTCACCTACACATATAATTATTAAGCATCTCATCTTTTACTGTATAGCTAGTGGACCTTTTCCCATTATTCGACAATTTCGCATTACAAAACGAGCGGGACTTTTGAATCTACTAATTTTCCATAATTATTTGCTATCTCTCTCTTATCCTCTCCTTATAAGTGTTGGGTTGGCTACGACGATTATCCCATGTTATCGTTACTTTCAACTGTCATCGATTCTATATAACTATATAGTAGGAAGTCAGTGAAACTTTTTTGGTACACATTTGCACAAGGTTAAATTATAAATACGTCGTTAATTCTTGTCCTGTAAAAGATGGAAATACTTTGCTGCAATCTGTTATTTCCGTTTATATTTTAAAATGTGTGTTATATGTAAGGTCTAATCATCAGAATTTTCTTTGTAGAGGTGATATTTCTATTATTAGCGGATACAATTTAAGAAATGCACAAAATTTCGTTATACCTAGACATAAATTAGTTATGTTAGTTAGCAATCAAGCTTTACAATAAACTTCCGGATAACATAAAATGCATAAATGATGTTAAAGCTTTCAAAAGCCGAGTAACAAAGGTCTTACTAGCTCACACTTTTTATAGTGTTGAGGAATACATCCAGTGCAATTTTACTTAAATGTTTTATTATAATTTTACTTAAATGTTTTACTTTTACTTAAATGTATTGTTTGTAACGAATTATATATAAGTTTGTTTTTACTCCTACATTTTTGTCTTGTTTGTAAATTTTATGTGACGTTTTCTATACCTATACAGGTCTACAGAAATAAATGATTATTATTATTATTATTATTATCGATCTAGCGGTGAAATGTCCTATCAGCAAGCAAGAAGATTCTGTCAGCCGAATTTAATAACATTTCTACTAACTTGTTGCAAGTAATACCTGAAAGTTTTAAGTTGGCGCATATTTTCTACACAGTTTAAGTGTTACTGGCTCCCCTACCAATACTATTAAACGCAAAAACAAAATGACATTTGCGAATGTGTAATTGAAACTCAGGGTAGGAAACATAAGAACAATACATTTGTGCGCGAGCAATAGAGATCTTTAATAATGGGAAAGGTCTAACAGGTATTCAACTTAAAATTTTGATTCATCATTTTTTACTTGATATAAATTAGTAATTCAAAATTGTCATTTAATTAAAAAAAAATTACTGCATTTATGAAATAAGAAATGAATCTTTATTGGTACCAAGAACAACATTGTGTAGTATAAGTTTAATAATAATAATAATAATAATAATGCGCTAGTTCAGTGTGATGTCATTTTGGTTCCACTGACATTTAATTCTAACCAAATTTTTAACAAAAACATCAATAAATTTGACATATACGTTCTTGCTGTTTTTAGTTTATTTTTAAATATTGTTTACAGGTCATAAAAATAGTTGAAAGGTATGTAAATTGGTAACTAAACGATTGTATATTTGATGCATGTTATCTACTTACTTTAGGAATATATTTATACAAGTGAAAAAACGATATAATTTAGGTAAACACAACGAACAAAACGCACTCAAAAAATCTAGTGTCACTTTAATTGTCAGTGGAACCCTAATTACATCATCACTGAACTAGCGCATATAGTTAACATTTAGATTTACAAGTTTTTACTTAAAACAATTTAATATGTTTACCAATCTAACATGCACGTAAGTGAGTGAACACTTGTCTGTGCATTATCTTTCTTCATATAATTATGAGAAAGAAAAAAAATATAATTAATGATTATGATAAAAATAAAATTAAAATTTGAACATAGATGAATAAACAATAATGAGACGAAAATAAAAAAAAAAAATGAAAAAATGGGAACTATAGAACATTACAAAACAGTATATATTATTAAAATAATAATAAATACTTTTGTTGGCCAAGCTAAGTACCAAATACAAAGAAAAAATATATAAATACCAATAGTTTTCCAAATGGCAGAGTTCAAAATCTCTGATAAAAATCAAAATTTTGCTCTTCGACTCAACCAGTATGATAGACATACCTATACATCTTCCGATATATAGATGTGCCCTGCATGTTTACTTAATAATTATTTAATCTAACGCACAATATGGCTTTACGAATATAAGAGAAAAAATATTGAAAACCCAAAACTGTAAACATCTTAAAAATTAAAATCAGCCAGATGAGTATGAACCAGTATATCAATAATAATATCATAAAAAAATATATATGAAATTAAAATTTATCTAAAAACTATAACTATCGACCTACAGAGTTTATTAATAATTTTCTATATAACATTACCTTTTTAAATTTATACTTGAATAAGATATGATCAGTGTATAATTTCAAGTCATCGGCTAACCAGTTGTACAGCTTAACAATGTTACAAGAAAAGCAGCCTTCAAACAAAACTTTTATGTTTTAGCATAGACAACCTCCATTCCTTAAATTTAAATTATGGACGTCTGTTCTGAATCGAATTTTACTACATAAATAAGCTGGTGTTCAGTCGTTCTAATTTTGTGATAAAGTAAGCATTCATGTAAAACTCGCCGTTGTGCTAAATTTAAGCACTTTAATTCCTTTAAATATTTTTAAACTATAAATAAGCCGAATACAACAATTTTGTACTGGCAGTAATCTTAATTGATCTCTTTTCTAGTTTTACACAAGATCCATGTGGAAAATCTACAAATTATTTAAAAAAAATTATGTCAGTAACAGTATATGGGTCTGCAGGTTAAGATAATTTTTTTATCATTATTTTTAATAGAGTGATAAAAGTAATTTTTCTAATTTTTATAGGAAGGCGATTAAACAGTAATCATTTATATAGGCAGCATTTTCCCGTTAAACTGGTCCTATGAACCGCAAATCAAAAAATATAGAGATATCTCTATCTGTAACGTGTGGAGGGTGGGTTTCCCCACGGCACTTAGGCCTCACTAGGTCCATTGTGCATCCTCCTAAGATGATAGGCAACTCCTAGCTCGTGAGTCAGCCTACAGATTTAATGTAGTTGACAACGTCGCCAAGAGGTGCTTCTCTTATATCGGCTGGTGTTAGCCGATATTCGCAGAACATAAATCTTCTAATAAATGAGAGTGCCGAGCAATCATAAAGGATGTGCTTGATGGTTTCATTTTCTTGTTCGCACCCTCTGCAGAGTGGGGATTGTGACAGGCCCATGATATGGAGATGCTTCCGTACTTGGCAATGACCAGTCAGAATGCTTGTGACTAGGCGCAGATTCTGTCTAGTCATAGTCAAGTATTTGTTTGCTGCAGTGTTGTCAGGATAACTTAAGAGCTCCCTGGCAACTCTGCAGTTTCTTGTTTCATCCCATCTTTGCTGGAATTTTACAAGGGAATGTTCTTTAATTAGGTCTGTCATTACCGATTTTGTCAGGCCAATAGAAGGTCCAGGGCCAGAGGAGATGCTATGACGATATTAAAAGTGTCGGCACCTCTGCATTACACTTTTACTTCATGTTTCAAAGACGAGCTAGTGAAGCTAGTCAATTTTGGTGAGATTAAATGCCCATTTTTTTTAAATAGCTTTATTTAAATTTAAATGATATAAAAACATTTTCATTCCGTCAATATTCATATTTAAAATTATTGACTTCAAAATAAATCAAAGTCCATCTGTCATATTGCAAAATAGTGCTTATGTCGTCTCTATTTCATTCTATCATTCTCTTCACACAGTATTCAGTGAAAAGTATTATGCATTCGCTTCATCCATCCGTCCGTCCGTCCATTCGATTTCACGTTTTTGTCCGCACGATAAATTTCAGGAAAATCAAGCTAATGATTTTGAAAAAAAATTAAAAATGAGTGGTTGAGAAGAGTTGACATAATAAAAAAAGGCATAAATCAAAAATGAAAAGCGATATCAACATGACATTTTTAGCAAAAATCAAGCTCTACAAGACAATGAAACCTATTGATTCTGAAAAAAATATCTGACAAAAAATGAGGGATAAGGACGGTTGAAATTAGGGCTGGGCGATTATCAAAATAAATAATCGATTAATCGAAAAAACGATTAACAGAAAAAATTGATTTATCGGAAATAATCGATTAATCGAAAATAATTGAAAATAATCGAATGTCGAAAATAATTTAATAATCGAAAGTAATCGATTAATCGAAAATAATTGGTAAATTAAAAATAATCCAGTGATCGATTAATCAAAAATAATCTATTTATCGAATAGAATCGTTTACTCGAAAATAATCGGTTATCGATTAAAAAAAAATCGATTATTTTGCCCACTCCTAGATGAAATATTGAAAAAAAAATCTAATTCAGAGGCAAAAACAATATTAAATGTTCAGGAAAAATCAAGCTTTATAAGGGGATGAAGCCTATTTATTCTGAAATAAAAATGAGGGGTTAAGAGGAGTAAAAATGAAAAACATCAACTTGAAATTTTTAGCAAACATCAAGCTCTATATAGGGACTAAGCCTATGATTTTAAAAAAAATTGTAAACAAAATGGAGGGTTAACATTTAAAGAGGATTGAAATAACAAAAAATAGAAATGAAACACCAAAAGCTATATCAACATAAAATCTTCAGGAAAATCAAGCTTTCTAAGGGGATGAAGCCTATTGATTTTGAAAAAATATGGATAAAAATGTGGGATTAAGGGGAGCTGGGTATGTTAAACTGTGATATCTTCATTCTAGTTTATAGTATAAGATTGTTATTGTCAATGGTTGTGTTTTGTGTTTCAATTTTGAGCTCCATCGTCGTTATTTAAGTAATAAATTTGTGTTTCATCATTTAAACTCTCACACGTAACGCCAAATAACCTTAAGAGCATATACAGGGTATTTATTGAGTGTCGATGTTTAAGGGTGTGAATCCTTGTGTGATTTTAAGAACAAAAGTTAATATCAACGTATGTCATAAACCTCTTAATTTTTGAGCTACATGGTGTTACAGTTTAAAAAAAATAACTTTTTTATCATAATTTTCTTATCACTCCAGACATTTTTATAAATTTTATACACACCTTTTAATCATTAAGAAGCTTTTTTTGACGTAAAATATGGGGTAGCGAAAAAGTCTGGCACCAAGGTAGTGGCGGCTCGTGAGTTGTGAAGGTGTAGGGGCGCTAATTGGCTTGAGAGTGGTAATTATGGAAAATTTGTTTTATTTATGTTTATTTTTTCTTTAACATAAAAAAATACTATTCACTGCTTGTCAATAGTCAATAAACAACATGAAATATTTGTCTTATAGAAAAAAGTCTGGCAAAAATAAATATTCTATAAAACAACTGCAAAAAAAACAACAGCCGCCTGACGCCTCATCTAATTATTACTAAGGCTGGCGGGCCGCGAAATAATTACCCCCGAATCTGCACTAAAACATCACATATGCGTTAACGCGTTCCTCACTCCTTTTACATGATGGGCCTATTGTTCGAGATGTTGATAAGAAATTAAATTGTGTATTCTTTAAAAGATTTTCAGGTCCGGATTAAAATATCTTGTGAAAAATTATTTTGAAAATATTTAAGTAAAGTATTTTGTTTAAGATAACGAGTCTTATAATTACAGACAGATTAGAGAAAGTTAAATATATAATGGGGAATTAAGAGCCCTTTACCAATTTTAGAAACGCTAGAGTAGGTACATCTCTGCGTAGAGACAACCGCCTGTTGTTAACTCAAGTGGTTGGTATTTTATGACCTTACAATATTTCTGGTTCTACTTTACAACATATATTTTTCTTTTAAGCATGAAGATGGTCATTGACCGAAACTAGTTGCCCTACCAATAAATGTATTTTTCGATTGTGGTAAAGACTTTGTGTCTACTTCCTCCTTTATGTGCAATGGATAATTTACTTATTCTTAATTTGTTCTTAGTTGAATTCCTATGTATACCGCTTTCTATCTTAATTCGTCTCTACACACCATATATATTTGCTAGCAGTCGTCTTCTCTCACATTGTGAGTAAGAACAAGAAAAAACATTCTTTTTACATACAATTATTGCCCTTTTAATATACATATTTTGTTCCTTTTAACTAAACTATAAACGACCATTTACGACGCTCATATACAAATTTAAATTGTTTTAATTACTTCAGGTAAGGGCGAAGATGAAGAACCAATCATTACTCACGGCAGAGCTATGTGTACGGATATATTATTTAAAGATGTTATTTACGCCATCAGAGACACGGCATTTGTCACTTCCGATTATCCAGTCATTCTTTCATTTGAAAACCATTGCTGCAAATCTCAGCAACATAAACTAGCCAAATATTGCGACGAAATTTTGGGTAAGTAAAACATCAAATGCTTAATAATAATATTATTAGTGTGTAATTTTTTTAGGCGATTTATTGTTAAAAGAATCATTGGAAGATTATCCATTAGAGCCAGGCGCTCCTCTTCCTCCACCGAATTTACTGAAAAAGAAGATTTTGATAAAAAATAAAAGATTAAAACCGGAAGTTGAAAAACACGAGTTGGAGTTGTTTAAACAAGGTCAGTTTGTCATTGAAGATGAAGAAAAGGAAGACGCAAATGCTAGCGCTGATAGGCCTATTCCACCTGATGTATCTCTAGAGGTAAAAAAAGAAAACTGAAATCTCAAAAAATTTCATATAAAATTACTTTCAGAATCCTCCAGATGGTGGTGAAGGAGAAATAGTACCTCCAACATCTTACACTGGATCTACCACCAATGTGCATCCTTGGTTGAGTTCAATGGTTAACTATGCTCAACCAGTAAAGTTTCAGGGCTTCGATGTTGCCGAACGTAAGCTTTTTTTAACAGTTACTATTAGAGTTTCAAAAGTTGCTTAAAATAAATTTAATCTGAATGAACTCAGTAAATAATGCGTCTTTATGCAAAACTCAGTTTCAAAAACTATATTAGTACAAATACCTTATATTTTAAAAGGAAAATGTTTTGTTTTAGAGAAAAACATACATCATAATATGTCGAGTTTCTCAGAACCAGCAGGTTTGAACTACTTGAAAACTCAAGCTATAGAATTCGTTAATTATAATAAAAGACAGATGTCACGTATTTATCCTAGTGGTGCCAGAGCAAATTCTTCCAACTACATGCCACAAGTGAGTTTACTCAATTTTGTTTTTTTTTATCATTCCTCCGTTTCTTTGCACTCTTTTTTAACCCTTCATTCCTTTACTCCTTCTTCTTCGGCGGTTAGTCTCCAAAAGCTCCTTCAACTTCTCCCCAACCGTTGCATAAGATGACTCGATGGAATGTGGTTTAACAGGTTACTTCATGAGCCTCGCATTTACAGTGCTGGCAAAATCAAATCTTTGATCCTGCTTTGCTTGTGTTAAAGTGAATAATTAATAGCGTTCGCGTAAGCAGGTTAAAATCGAGATAATAACGGTGTTGTTAGCCGAGCCAAAGGTCAGTAGCATCGACAGAACTTAAAGCAAGATAGTCGTCATTAATACAAAGTTCAGTTGAGACACTGAATATGGCTTTGCACACATAAAGGATAAGGGTCGGCTTAGTTTTCTTTTGTATTTATTCACAGAAATAAAATTGGGCTTCGAGATTTTGATTGATTTTTCACTTTAAAAACCCCTAGTCGATTTTTTTTTGTTCGTGTAAAAACGACTACTGATTTTCCTCAAATTTTTTTCATAATATATTTTTATCTCCCAGTGAAGTAGACTCGATCAGCTCAAAAGGTTGTTATAATCTCGTGATGTGTTCTTCCAAAAATTAATTCGTATTTAAGAACTGAAATCTACGGTTCTGTTTGAACTAAAATAAACCCAACGAGAAAGAATTCGTGTGCCAATTTACACTCATTTTAATTTGTATCAATGTTACCAAGCTGGCTCAACTGGCATCTAAACTATGTCGTTTCTTGTTTTTCATATGCGAACGCGAACACACAAAGTAGGACTAAAGGTTTGATCTTGCCAACACTGTAACTACTCACTTACTACCTCAGCTAAAATTACAATTAATTTTAGGTATTTTGGAACGCTGGTTGTCAAATGGTTTCTTTGAATTTCCAAACGTCTGACCTGCCAATGCAATTAAACCAAGGCAAATTTGAGTACAACGGCAATTGCGGTTATCTATTGAAACCAGATTTCATGCGACGTCATGATAGGACTTTTGATCCTTTCGCAGAATGTCCTGTAGATGGCGTAATCGCAGCGCAGTGTGCAGTACAAGTTATAGCGGGGCAGTTTTTGTCAGATAAAAAGGTAGGAAATGCAGTAGTTGCTTCGAAAATGCGATCCTGAGGTATTTTATTTTAATATAGGTTGGTACGTACGTTGAAGTGGATATGTATGGTTTGCCGACAGATACTATTAGAAGGGAATTTCGTACTAGAATGGTACCTTCGAATGGTCTAAATCCTGTTTATAATGAGGAACCGTTTTTGTTTAGAAAAGTTGTGTTACCCGATTTGGCTGTTTTGAGATTTGGCGTTTACGATGAAAACGGAAAACTTTTGGGTCAGAGAATTTTACCTCTTGACGGTCTGCAGGTAATTAATTTTTTTTTTTATACAGTGAGATATGAAAGTATGTCTTTTCAGGCCGGTTATCGTCATATTTCTTTGAGAACTGAAGCTAACTTTCCCATGTCTCTTCCGATGCTTTTTTGTAACATCGAGCTTAAGATTTATGTACCAGACGGTTTTGAAGATTTCATGGCAGCGTTAAGTGACCCTAGAGGCTTTATGGGTGCTCAGCAAAAGCAAAATGAGCAAATGTCTTCCATGGGAATTGAGGTACAGTGTTTATAAAAACTTATGTAAAAAAAAAATTATACAATAATTTTAGGTGACATCCGACAAACCTGCAGAGAAAAAGGAAAAGAAAGAAGAACCGAAATTGGGTAAGATTTATTCATTGTAAAATCTGTGTAATATTTATTGTCGATATAATTTTAGTGTTTGAACCCATAACCATTGAGACCATAAAACAGGACAAAGCCTTCCAAAAGACGACGAAAAAGCAGCAAAAGGAATACGACACTTTGAAGAAAAAACAGACCAAAGAAAAATTGGGCGTGCAGAAAACTCAATGCGCGGCTATTGATAAATTAATTAAAGGGAAGAAGTAAGTTTTGAAACAAATCAATGTCGATGCCCAACTTACCTTCTACTCATGTGTTTCAGTAAAAATGATCTTGTAAACGATCCTGCAGTACGCAAATTGGTTACCGAGCAAACGTTAGAGTGGAGCGCCTTGATGGAACGTCATCGCAAGCAGGAGTGGGAATTTTTGAGGAATCAGTTGGACGACCAAAGAGATTTGTTACGAAAACACATGGAAATTCTCCAAGGATTACAGATGAAGCAATTAGAAGCTAAACATGAAAGGGAAATGAAGGAATTGAGCAGTTCGCAAGCCAAAATTTCTGTTGAAACAGCCAAAGAGGTATGTAAAACAAGTATTAGAAATTAAAAATTTAAAAAAACCGACTTCAAAAACGTGCAGATGCCATCACCACATCTTAACCAAATTTATATGGGACCACCCCTGAGGTACCCCCTTACTAACAAAAAAAGAATCATATAAATCGGACAGGTGGTAAAGCATTATCGCTAAACATACATAAAAAATGAAGAGTTTGAGGATTTTCTCATGGACCCAATTATTAGATTTTGACCAAATTTATATGGGACCACCCCTGAAGTAGCCCCTTTCTAACAAAAAAAGAATTATTGAAATCGGACACCGTGTTAAAGAATTATCGCTGAACATACATAAAAAAAAATATCGCGACGAATTGATAACCTCCTCCTTTTTTGAAGTCGGTTAATAAATGTTCTTTTTTACTTTTCACCAGTGGCGGCTCGTGGGCACTAGTGGCAGTGGGGCACACACTGGACAGGAATCTCGGGATTCGTTTTTTCCTTAGGAAAACAAGTTTTCCGCTTAATGAAAATTAAATATATTTCAAAACAATCAGTTAGGGCAATAACGATTTCTGAATGTGACTACAGGAAGCTAAATGTGATCACTCAAAATGCATTTAACTATGTATGAGGCGTTTCTTAGAAGAATGCAATGTACTTAACAATTTTAACTTGTTAACGCATTTTAAAGCATACGACTCTGAAGAAAAGGTGTTTGGCAATTTAAAATCTCCCAGCGAAAAATTTCTCTTTTATATTTTCAAATTAGAAAAAATATTTATATCTCTGTTTGATAGTTTGTCAACTAAGCCTGGAATTTCCAACGCATACCTTTTTCAGATGAGCAAAATAGAATTTGGTCATCCTTGCCAACAATTTGCGAAAATGTACACCATTAAATTATTTATATGACTCAGAATTTTTTATACTCTTAAATATGCAAACAGAGATTTGAAATCCTCGAAAAAGTCAGACAAAACCAAAAGAAAAATTAAACTTTTGTCCCATTTATAAATATTGATTTTTTTTATCATATTTTTGACTGCTTTATAAAAAAAGTTATTTTTCTTTGTAGTTTTATTTCTTAACTATTCCAATGGTCCAACTAACGTTTTTTCGTATTCACAATAAATAAATAATTGTCACGGTCCAACAAACGCATCGCCTTTGTGAGGGAGCCGGTAAAGGTGCCGTTGCGTACATTCGTATCTGGTCTAGGTAATCTGTGCCATGGGTACAGCACGTCACGATAAGGACAGCGCCCCGCTTGTGACGTATAATCCATCGCATATATTGTCGTCCTTGTTTTTCGCATCATAATGAGAGAAAACAACAGAGGCACACATTTACTGTGCCCTGTTCCACTTAATTTCGGAATTCTCGGAACGTCGCACAACGCCCGGTCGTCCAGTGTCGTGCCAACGCGGTTTGCGCTGAATATTAGATAAAATAATAATAGGCATTGAGGAAAATATAAAATATGTAAGTTTTTTTTTGTTTATTATACTAGGGCACGTGCCCAAGTGCCCTTACGGGCGAACCGCCATTGCTTTTCACTAAGGAAAGTATATGAATTTCGATGGATCTTTGGGGTCCCCTAAATCCGTTTTGACCATTTTCGCGATGTCTGTATCCAGGATAACTTAAAAACGGATAAAGCGAAACTACCAAATTTTAAGCATACTCTTTAATATATCCTGCGATGAGATGACTAAACTTTGAGCATATGAGGGCTACTTTATAGCGGGTCGCTTTGTCTACTTAAAAATATATTTCTGTTGTTTATGATCGGAGACGAAAATTCTTCGAATAAGTTGTTTGTGATTTCATTTGCTATAAGTTTTGTTTTTTATCTCCAAAATGGACAGTATTGGAAACATTTGAGGTAAAAGTGCAAAATTCTAATGTTTCCAATATTTTCGCCGGCAATGAAGATATGAAAAAATGTTTCCTATAAAATGTATGTGGACAATTTTTATCCTTAATTCATATTCTATAAACACTTTTTCATAGCTTTAATAGAAAGTCATAATGTTTTACACATCAGATATTTTTTTATGTACTTGTAGTTAGTTATATTGTAGATAGGTTGAAAATGAGTGCGACCCAGATGGATCTATTGTAGCCAACGACGAACAACTACTAGACTAATTTTGTTTACCAAAACCAAATTGCAAGCATTCATGGTGTTATCCACTTAGTTGCTAAACTATTATGGGAGAGTCTTGTTACAAGAATTTCGGAATTGACTTAAGATACGTCTCTAAAATTCACAAAATACTTAAATATATTTGCATTATTAATGCCAGCCATTTCTGATTGCAACTATTACTGTACCTGAAGGTGATTTACAGGAAAGTACACCTTTTATTAACTGTGTGGCAATGGTGTAAAACAGGAATCAATACTACGACCTGGTTCATTCATAAAATACGTACTCGCACCTTAGATAAGCTCGCACAAACCATTCTCACTCAATTTAGCCGCCGTCTCCCACTTTTTAATACAGCAGCTGATGTGACAGCTCATGTCTAACTTATAGTTCACCATACAAGCGACACCTAATAGTGTAGTGGACATATTACACATGTGGGTACCATTCTTCTGGTATTGATTTATTTTGCCATATTAGCTATATTAATGATGGCTGATAGAACTCTGAAGAATAAGTAGGGTTTGCATAAAAAATATATAGCCCAATACCCTCCTTTTTTTTGTAATGTAGGGCATTAAGTTAAAAATGATTATTTCCCATAACTTTTTACTACAGTTTAATTGAACTAAAAGACAAAGGCCTTGTTCACATCACTCTAAATGGAATTAATCCGTTTGGACGGCATCCAAATGGATTTTACGTTTAGAAACTTAATTCACGGTCACTCCAAATGGATGCGTGAATAATGTCGTTTTTTGTGCTGTATGGTGCATAGGAAACACGGGTTTTCCCACTCATACAGCGTCCACGCCGCGGACTGCCACCAAAGTTCATTGGATGTTTGAGACGTCTAGATATCCAGCCTATACCTTAAATTTTCAATATTCACGGAGGCATTTTGGACAGTTTGCGTGCTCATGAATGGGAGTCAACTGTAAAACAGTTGGTTGACTCACTTTTGCCAAGGGCATAAAGCAGCATTATGGGACCCCTTAACTCCCCCTATTTTGTATGACATTACTTAAATTTAAATTTTGGTTGTATTTTTGTATTGGGCAATACTCTATGATAATAATGTATTCTTATTTTACTTCTTTAAACCTTTTGAAAGATATTCGTACATAAGTTTTCCTCATATTTACATTTGAATTTGCATTATTGTAAACCAAAAATGGAGGGTCTAAGAACATAGGTATATTAAGCAAACTACTTATTTTTCAGTTCTATTTTTTTTATTATTTTTTAATGACCTCTATTCGAGTGATAAACCACTAAGGTCAAAACGTATTTCGGAAATCACCTAAAAACGATTTTATAGAATTTCGGTGATTTCGCCCCCTAATTTTACAGGATGATTTTTATTTTGACTCTTATCTTGTCTGTTGATCCATAAGCTGCTGCATTTTATTTTTAAACGTCAAATTGATTTCGAAGTGATTTCAGTAATGATTTCAAACATGATTTTCGATTATGATTTCGAGAAAATTTGTAGTAATTACGGCGATTTCGAGTGAAAACGTACCAGTATTTCGGGAGAGGTTCACCCCTCGCCTGTATTTTTACAAGTAAAGCCGTTTGGGACCTATAAATAATAAAGTTTCTTAAAATTGAATTAGGACTATCACTTTAAAGTTTGGATTCATACTACTTAATGATAATAGCTTTCCACTTTTCATGTGACTTTATGTTTAAGTTAATTACCTTCTAAAGATAACTTTTATAGCAGGATTTTCCTCATTTTGCTGTTCATACGTTTTATCTCCCACTTCTACTTTACATCCATTCAATTTCTAATAAGTTTATTGCCAAAGAACTCGACCAACTCTTCTCATGGTGGGTTTCTATTCTTTTTAACTGTTTTCTTTATGTTCATTCTTCTTAACAATAGTTTTTATATTGCAGGTTGCCAATGATAAAAATTTAAAAACAAAAAAAGACAAGGAGCGTAGGTTGAAGGAAAAGCAGCAAAACAACAACAAGCGTTTTGTTGACGAAAGAAAAACTGCTACCATCAAGCAAGGACGTGAAACTGAAAAATTGCAGTTGACACACAACAAGCAATTAGAGATGCTGTCCCATGACATACAAAAAATGATTGAAATGTACAAAAACGAGGAGCTCGAATATGACATGTCGAGCAAGAGTGAATTTTTCGCCTAAATATATGTTGTTTATAATTCTATTCGAATTCAGAATACATGTATCGCATTAATATTTTAAAATTGTATAAAATTCAAATTCTAATAAATTATTTACCGTTTATTGTATTTTTAATTATGTATTAAACTTTTAACCACCGCCTGTTTTAGTTAACTACGACAAGAAATCGTAGTGAAGGTCCATCCTGGCTAACCAGGTCACAATCTACATTCTGATTTTTCCGTCTATAATACTAAATTACACAATCTATGCACACTTTCAGCGGCCAGCCGCTGGTGGGAAATTCTTTGAGGAAAGCATACATTTGATGAAAGAAGAGGTTCAGCCTCCTGCTAGAATCTTCCGAAGAAGAAAGTAAATTAATTCTATTGAACAAACCGAAAAAGGTATTTTGTTCAAGAGTATATAAAAACGTTTTTTCCGACGTTCCGTTTTTCTAAAGTAGCATTCGGTTTAACACAGAATCCGCCTTCCCACACTCACTCAGATATACCAGCCTCTGATTTTACTATTTTATCGTAATAGAATCGATAGTGAAAACATTTTGCCGTTAATAGGAACTTTTATTATCTGAACTTTTAACCACACGCCACAATCCGTCTGGTCTTTCGACTTGGAATAAATAGCCAATGGGAAGGCCCTTTTCCTGCAAAATGATCTGAGTGATGTCATAGATAACATTTCTTATGTTTTAGAGAGTTGGCTTGCTTACATGTCATTTCTCACCCCAACAAACATCAGGTTGCATTTATTTGAAATTATAATATTGTTATCCTGGACCCTAAATTTGCCTCAGGCTGTTATAGGAAACGTAAGAATAAAAGAAGAAGTGCAATGTCGCCCATCACCCTATTTTTGTACTTTCTTTAGTTTGAATGAAGAAAATAAACGACCTAATCTACCTATTCAGTTGTCAGCAGGAAGTAAAGCCAAGGTAGTTCGCATTGAAAAGTTAGCGCCATATGGTGGTTCAGATCCTCCCAATTGACTCCAACCAGGTCCCAGTAATCAAGTTATTCGGGACGAATAATGAATAATTAGAGAGAAGGGAGCAATGTTATCCTGTACCCTGCAGTAGCTTGCGGCTGTTGTAGGAAATGTATAAATAAAAGAAGTGCAATGTCACCCAGAGAGAACAATCTAGAAATGTCATTCCGTGTCAAGAAGCACCTGGAAGTTTTTTTTTTTTTTTTCGTTTTATGGCTTCGGTGTATTTACCTAATGCCAGTCTCGGTTTATGTTTGATTTTTATGCATGTGTTCTGTGTAGGCTTTTTACTGTTTCCCAGCGCAACTTTAGGAACAGCACTGTTAATTATAACCCAATAGTGACTGGTCGGAGTGAGAAAGCCTAAATAGGCATCAGAATTATTTTTAAATAATTAAATTAACGGTGGGATTCAAACCCGTTACCCTTGGATCCGAAAGTCCAAACTCTAACCACTGAGCCATCCATCTCCATTTATAAAAGTTGAGTGAAATAAATTGAGTTACCGAAGACGAGCGTAACAATATAATGGGGAGACGTAATGAGTGGCTTGTACTTGATAGAGCGGCGAACTCGGTATTTATTTACGATTAAACATTTATTGTTTGTACCATGGTAGTATGTTTTTCAGACCTTACTCAAAAGGAATTCGGAAAGATAACAAAAACTATATATTTTCAAATATAAAAAAATTTGCTATCTTTGTTTTTAAAAACTAACTTTGTGTTAATCTTTAAATAAATGTCCACCATCAAATTTACAAAATGGCGCTTACTATAAAACACTTTTGTACATATTGTTGTGACACAGCTGTACCTTTTGCTATTGAAACGGAGTCTACATTGTCTCAATTGTTATTTCTAATAATAATCATACACAAAAGTTGAATAAAAAGACATTTGTTTTAACTATTCATTTTACTACAATATTACATTATTTTCATACACAATCTAATATTATACAGTTCTTTATCTTTAAACAATGGAATGTACTAATTACAACGAAAAAATAAGACCGGCTATCAACATTAACGGAAAACATTTATAAACAAAAGGGTATTCCATTTAGGGGACACATTGGGAGTCTATTTTGTTAAAAAAAAAATTTAACCAAAGAAAAAATATATCAATTTGGTGAAATCTGTTACTTTTGAAAAGATTTTCTTGTTTTTTATAAAAAAAAATACTTTAAAAATTTAAATAAATAAGTGTATAAATATGAGATTCACAAAATGTCATCCATATTTCCAAGAGAGGCTGGATAAAAATTGGAATAAGCAATCAGACTCGTTAAGAGATTGTTCGATTAATTTAGTAGAAATAAAAAAATATAACGTTACATTCAATAATTAACCTTAAGTTAATATAAGCAATTACTAATTAACTAATTGGGAAAGTCAATTGTCGAGTATTCTCTACGGTTTTTGAAATTCGAGTTAAAATTTATGTGTGTAATAGTTATCTTTACATTTATTCTACTTTTATTACACAAACGTGATATTTGGTCAGTTCTTTTTTTTGTTATTCACATCGATATGATATTTAGGGCGAGTACTTTCTTTAGATTATCTGCTAATCAACTACATTTTTTTATGTAAATGGTTATTATATGAAATAAAAGTGACACACTTCAAGATAGTTTTGAGCAGAATTCCATGGACATTAAAATTGCTTGATTTTAATCCTGTTATTTAGCCTAATTAGTCAAAAATATAAAGGGTGCTTTCAAAGTTGAGCAATTTTTTAACAAGATGTAGAACTCCGTAACTATGTAAAGTCAAAAATCACCTATGTAAAAGTGTTTTAAATATTTTTATATAAGTTGCAAGATAAGTTAGCAATTTAATATTAAAAAAAAAAAACAGTACGATGAATAACAATATAAATAATTATGTAGGTTAGGTTCCAACTTTTAAATTACTTATTTTACTAGTGTGTTAAAAAATTTGCTTGACATTTAGAACACCATAAATATTACAATGAATGAATTCATATATCCTTTATTGTATAATAACCATGTAGTTTGAAGCTATAAATCCACAGACAAATCTCCAGTTTTTATAGAACTGAAACTATATTTACAAAATTAAAAATAATCAAAATTATTAATACGATTTATATTGAACTTTAGTATACCATATTTTCATAGTCTCCACATTTTTAACTATTTTACATTTAAACTAATAAGGGTTAAAATGTACCCTTAATTCTTTTAACTAAAGGTAGAATTGCTCAGCATGGGACAAACAACAACTGCACTTGTAGCAAATGCAGTCAGCACTGCTTTGCAATTGATTTTTAATAGGAGTACTTCCACCGTAAACAGCATTTGAGACAAGTTACTATCAGTTGTGCCGTCTGCAGTCGCGACAAGTTCAGTTTCCGCTTTGCGTGTGCTTCAGAAAGACTCCAATAAGAAAGAATTTGATGTGAAATTTTTCCTTCTTAAAAATAAATAAAGAAGCAGAACTTGGGGAATATCCGAATGTTATTTAATTAAAACTGGTCGATCAAAAAATAAGTTTTACAAAAAAAACATGACCAACAAAAGATGATACAATTATACTTTTTTTTTTGTTAATTTGAGAAATGAGAAACACCGTCTTCACGGTAAATTAAGGAACATTGACGATATCAACGGCAGGACTGTGGATGCTTGAATAGTACAAATCCATTTGTGCTTTTAACAAAAAAAACGTCATAATAGATGTTGTTGTGCAGAAGCTGCAAGTTATCCAGCTTGGAACATATTACAAAAGACTTAATAAGTAGAACCAGATATAATAAAATCGTTTATAAATTAAATAAGGAACATTGTATGTCCTTTCAAATAAAAATGTCTAATAGCGCGTTTTTTTACTCCGTTCTGGTTAAAAGCATTATGATAAATTCAACTTCATCTTGAATTTATTGGCAACAAAACAACTAACATATAAGAGATCAAGATCACTTACTAGAACGTAATCAGGCAGTATTGTCAGTACATTATATCACTCAGGTATTTTTTTAAAAATAAATATCACAATGTTTTCGTGAGTTTTATTCTCAAAAAATGTAGGGTTAATAATTAATATGGATTGTCTGTTCATAAAAAAAACTTACTCTTAACTATTTGATAAATGGGCAAATCAAAATAACTATTCCTAGAAAGTTTTAATAACATTCTACATTCAAAAAATGAAAACGTTAATTGCACATAATAACTAAGAAGGGTTCAAATGTACGAATGAGATTTATGTAGAAAAATAAAGAATTTTCCAGAACGCATATTATGGACTGAAGAGTTTCTCACCCACAATAGTCACATTTTGAGAGCTGCCCAGAATGTGCACTGAACATTTTCAGTAAATATTCAAGTTAGTATTGTTGCCTATGCAGGGTATGTGTGATTATTCTCAAAACATGTTAACTGCGTTCAATATGGTTTTGAGAAAATGAGAAATTTGTATATATTTAGAAAAATGTTTTTTACGAGCATGCTGAAAATACCACCTTAAACTCACATTTCAATTTAGAAAGATGTACTTTCTCGATTTTGGTGTAAGAATGTTATATTCTCGCAAGTAAAATCGTTGAATCACTCTTAAACGATTATTGGTGACATTTTTTGTGACATTTCAGTGACATTCACTACTTTGCTAGTAAATAAATTCCACCTGGCAGTTGGTTAGTAACTGTCACCAACTGACAAATTATGCGAAAAAAATCCCCAACAAACGACCACAAAAAATTTAAAAAACATGTAAATAAAGCCCAAAATCAAGAAAATAGAATAAAACACACGATACAGAAGGCTATTCTCGCACTCATTCGCTCGTGGTCAAATTTCGGGAATATGTGGCCTTTGCAACTTGTATTTTAATAATATACTATTCCTGTACTAGTGCGGGAAAGTAAATATCTTTTATTGGAGATTTTCTAACAAGTTGTAGCGCTGTAAAGAAAAGTACCTATTATTTGCATTTTTAGACTTTTCTGTTTCAAGAATGTTTTGGTTTATATGTAGAATGAATATTTGCACAGCTTTAAGTCACTTTCCGCAAATAACTATTTTGAACCACAATTCATCAAATGTTTATGAAACATCTGTCAAACCGGAAGAGGAGCCATTATTAATCTTGCTTTTGATGATCCTTGTTACTGTTCAAAATATTTCGTAAAATTGTTTGTTCATTCATGGAACAGTTTTTTGTTTGAATAAAATGGTTGTGTTGATATTGTTATAAATATTTCCTTTTTAGAGCGTGTAACAGAAAAAGGTAGGTCATAAATTATACTAGATTTTCTGGAGCCAGGCCCGACGAGAGGGAGGGACAGGGGGCAAAATCCCGGGGCCCGGCAGCTTTAAAAAAATAGATTACAAGATGTGGAGGGGCCCTTGCCAGTGTTTTGCCAAGAAGCCCCACCATGGCTCTCGCCGGCCCTGTCTGGAGCCAAAGATTGCTTGGTCAAACTATTTTGTAATTCGACAAAATATATGGTTTCTAAAAGAAGACGCTCCATCACATTACAGTGACTAAATAAGAGAATAGTTTTTTCTCGCAGTACCCTATACGTTGCATTGGGACGATACACTTGTTCTTGGTCACTCAGAGGCACCTCGACTTTAGTTTTTATAATTTTATAAAAGGAGAAGTGTGAAAATAATGGACAAATAACAATTGAAGCTGCAAATATTAAGCAGAAAGTATATATTTTTAAAAATATTTATCTTTTCTGTTAAAACATTTTGAACATTTTAATTTTTTTGCAAAAAATCATTAGATACCTTAAAGAACAATGAGAGACTAGTGGTTTTCAACCTAGCTGTTGTGTTCAGGCGGTGTTTACTATTATGGGTAGAAAAATTAAATACTTTTTTGATATCATTTTAAAAATGGATAATCAAATTGCCAATTTTTCTTTGGGAAGGGGATGGGTTTATGGTAGCGATTATTTTCCTGGATAATTTTTTATTGAGTAACCTGAAGCAATTCGTCATATACATTTAGGTAAATTGAAGAACTTTGTCTCGTCATTACGTCCTAACCTGAATAAAGTATAGAACGGTCCTTTCTCCTTTTGTATTTCCACAATAGGATGTAATCCACATTCTTCAATTCGTCTTCCTCCAGTAGAACATTGATGCAAGTGAAGATAGCACAGTTCCTTAGAAATTGCAATTAAAAATTTCAATTGCATGGTTGGAATTATTAAGATATTAAAAAATATCTGGGAAATAATGAATAGGTATTTTTATCTATCAAATTTAGTATAATTTTAGATGGGCCTATCTGTTTTTGTTTCCAAGAATTTTTTGTACTGTTGTATTGAAAAAAAAAAAAAAAAATTTGCACTTAACGTGCGGAGAAGCGATATGAGACAAAATATTTAATAACATGTTTTTGGTTTAAATACATGCAGCAATCACATTGAATATTACCTACTGCAAATTACCCAAAAAAAACCTAAAGAAATGTTCTGCCAAAAACCGTGGTGTAGTCTCAACACTCGCGGAGGTGGACCCGATAAAAAACGCCGTGAATAAATATTGAAAAAGTACAGTAAGTCGAAAAACATTGATTTTTCGAAAAAGTATTAAGGGTCGAAAAAGTTTAAAAATTAATGTCTTAAAGAATACAAGAGTTTGGGGACTAGGGGATCACAACCCCCATAAAATTTAAATGGGGTGCAGTTTTCATATTTTTTTCTTTTGAAGTGTTGCTGTTACTTAAAAAATACACAAGTCTATTTTCATGACAAATCATTTGTTTACAAGTTATTGGAAAAATCCATTTTCAATTTGTAACTTGTACGTTAGGTGTAACTGACCTATTTCTGACCTAGCCTCCTGTATATGTTCTTTAAGTCATAATTACGATTAATTATATTCCCTCTATTAAATTTAAAAACTAGAAATAGTTAATCTGAAACGCCCAATATAGATTTTGATTCTTTATTTAAACTTGATGGAATGTTTAATTTGCTTCCTTATAAAAACCACTCCTAAACATTTGTGTATTTTCAATTAATGAAGGTGAAGATTATTACATCTAACAATTAAGTGAATGGGTAGGTATTATTATATCATCGCAAAAGTAAGTTTTTTTTGCATCAACAGGTATACAATAATTATTTTACATTTACTACTTCATGGCTATATATTAATATACACAATACTAAGCTAACCACTTTATTAATTGTTTTTATACAAATCATGCCAAAAGAAAACTCCAATTTCAAAAACCACATAATTTTTAAACTTATGACTAGAGTATGGTTGTTGCTAGCAAAATTTTTATAATAAATATAAATATGTATATATATAAATAAAATGTAACTTGAGTACGTTTCAATATTTTACAAAACAAAAAAAAAATCTAAATTTACATTGATTATCTGCAATCCTTATTTTACATTTACGTAAGGTCTTTATCAATGTAAAACTACGGATATTTTCATTAGATGATATTAAAATCTGAAGCACATTTTAACAATTTATTAATATATAATCTTTAATTTCAATAGACGAGAATGTGAGGATACCATTAATATAAATTTCATAAATTTTTAAATAAAAGCATCATACAAATTATAACAATAATGGCCATTTTAGACTTTTACAATATCCAAACAGGTATCCATATTTTTTTTATTATCCTTTCAATAAAAGACCTCGCGCTTCTCTGATGCAAAAAGGCTTTTAGTCGAATGTAATAAATTTTGGATATAATGTAGTACTAAACCTCTAAACCAAATAAGTACATGGGCCCACTATCAATCGTATGGCTAGTTTTTAAGGTAAGTTGAAAAATTTCTAATTTTTGTTATATTATCTTATAAATTAATAAATAAAAACGAATGAATTTATATTTTTAGTTGATGTTACTGTTGATATATGTTCTAATGTAATAGAAACAAGGCGGGTGCGTAAGTAATACAAAGTTTTTAAAATTTTGATAATACATGATTTGAAAATAAATAAGAGAAAAGGCAGAAATAAAATGATTGTGATTGTTACATAAAAAACTCATCCTATATATATATTGTATAGGATGATTTCAAAGATGTCTACGGATAGATATATATATATACAATCTAGTACGACGGCGGACTGAACGGTGGGCTGACATTTGTCAGCCCACCCTTAATTTTACCGTTTCGGTAAGAAGTGAGGGCTACTATAGCACAAATAGGTTTCATAGGCGAATATGTCCGTCGTGGTCTTTTGGGTCTGCACGCTAAGTCACTTGACTCGGTATTGTCAAATTATAATACTTATTTATGACATGTAGAGAAATAAAATGGTGAAAATAAAGTACTTATTAAGATTATATTATTATTCTTAAAAAAAATCAAAGGTGCCCCTGAAAAATGGAATTTATTTTAGTTACGAAACATTTATACAGGATATAGGATGATTGGTTATTTACATGTTAATATTTAAAAAAATACTTCTTTTTTAGTGGCACTGTATTTTTCGATTTGATAAGTCAAAAAAAAAAATTAATAAGCTTGATTAAACTAATAACCTAATATTTTTTTCATAATTTTACTATGACCAGTTTTAAAGATACATAGCACTAAAGTAAAAAAGACTGTTTGAAATCATACACCTATAGAAAATAATGAGGCAAATCAATTAAGTTGTACAATGTAGAAAAGAAACAATTTGAAAATATGATACAAATTGCAATAAGTATGTAACAAAAAAAAAAAACATTTTACAAATAAATGAACACATGAAAGCATCCAATTTTTTAAGAATTAGAGCATACCTACTCTTGAATAAAAAAAAATACTAACTACGTATATCATATTGTTCCTCGGTTTTGTCAGGCATCTCAATAACATTAATAATCTAAAATACCATAGCGTCTTAATATGTAGTAATTTAAAAAAGAATATAGTATAGATTACCCAAGCTGTATAATGTAATAGATAGTTTTCGAACATAATATGTTTATTTTGATGACCCCTATCACCCTTAAAAGTTTATTGATATATACATGGGACGTCCTGTTTAATATCCTTTATCCTTATTAAGTTGGTAACTGAAAACCTTGAAGAAGTGGATTAGTCATGAAAGAGATGCTACCATCATACAAGATAGTATTGAAACAAATTATTATATTTGTATTTTGAAAATAACAATGTATACAATATGTTAACCCATAGATCGGGTGACTCTGTCGTCACTGGACAGATGAATACACTGTGGCGACATCATAGCACCACATAGTCTTACCTTTAGTTTTGACTTTTACGTCAATTTATTTTAAGGTTTCTTAGTCAGTTTTTATTTGAGGTTGGTCAAGTGTCAATGTCAGATGGTACCATTATAATATCACATATATTATGATCTTGGTCGATAGCTGCGTACACTAGCACCCTACTTATCCGATGGATGGTAACCATGGAAAAGGAAAACAAAAAAGATTGATGGATTACGGATTTCGAAAAAGACAAGACGTACCTCGACACAACATTTTTCATATAATGCTTTTTTATATTTTAAAATAAAATTATAATTATTTACTGAAATTCTGATTTCCTGCTACCTACATACACCTCTACCGCTACTGGGCTGGCGCGTACTGTTCTACCTCTCTTTACTAAATAGCATCACTTATTCTATACCGTTCTTCTGGCGTACTTGTGAAAAATTTAACATACTGTATGTTATATTGCAAAAGATCCTTTACCCATTTCTTGCCCAACAAACCACAATATTCTTTTCTTAGTTATTTTGAGTGGGTAAATCATTTCTAAAGGCAATTTTTAAACTTTATCGCCGTGTACCGTTATAGTAAAATTATGAAAATATATCAGGTTAATAATTCAGCCAAGCTTTAAAAATATATATTTTTAAATATTACCTTGTAAATAACCAATCAGACGAACGTATTATGTATCAGTAATAAATATATTGTAACTACTTAAAATTAATTCTGTTATTCAGAGATCTCTGACATTTTTTTAAGAAATATGCCCATCTGTAATCATAATTTGGAATCACCGTATATACATACTTTATAGGCTGAGTAAGGTGACATTTTATTTCTTTCTTTGCTTTTATTTCAAATCACAATTTCTCTTTTTTTTAACTCTGTTTACATAATTACGCATCGCACTGGATATGAGAAAATTTTGAACAACGTATATGTAAGTTTTCATTGCATTAGAACAATTTCAACAGTAAAAGCAAACCACAATATAAATTCCTTTTTTTAAGTTATACATACTGGATATTTCTTATATTTTTTGTATTGAATAGTATTGAATGTTACAGGCTTTAGATATATCGATGTGGTACATATGTGGATCATTTAGTTTTATTTCTTTCAAATTGAAATAAAGATTAAGGTAATATAGTGACTTCAAATTAAGTATAATATAACAATAGCCTGTTCCGTTTAGTTTCGAGACCAGAGACAAACACATGATGGCGAAAAATGACCAACTAATTAATTCAAAGAGTATTGGAAGCTAAGAGGAAGGCTAGGGAATTTCAAGCCAAACCAATGCCTAAGTCTAAATTGCACCCTACGAGAGCGTTATCTTTAACCACAAAAAATAAATTTAATGATACAGTACACACAATAATCTTCAAATCCAAGCCTCCGAGCGTGCTCTACAAGAAACTATTTGAACCGAAACGAGAAAACAGACTTCTGCTCGAAATAGCCAATTTCTCAAAAATTATCGAATAAGACAAAGAATAGGTCTGACAACAAAGAAAATACACCTTGAATGTGTAATCGAGTATATGTCTATAAAACTATTAAAATAATTATTATTAACCATTTTAAACATATATGACGGAAAATTAAGATCGATGTAAAAATGTTTCTACTTATAATTAGGCAATCCAAAGTCCTGTCAGAATGGACAAAATGGCTGAAAACAATAAAATTTGTTTATCTGATTTTTTCATTAGTATTTCACTGTTATTGTAAATCATACATTATTTGTATTCATATATTCATTATATTAAATTCTGCCATTTTTTAACTAAACATACCGAAAACAACTCTAAACACTCCAAAAAAATGATATAAACTAATAACATCACTAGAAGTGTTTTTCTCAAGGGAAACACATACCTTTGTTGTTTTTGCCAAGAGTAAACTATTTAAAGTCACGTGATTTGGATTGCCTAATTATTAAAATGTGTAGAAAATTCTAGTTTTTATGCAATAATCTAACAAAGTATTCATAATTTTCCTACGCTATACAAAAATATTAAGCAGTTTTACCTATTTATTATATTTTTTAAACTTCCAAAAACTTTTATATTTTATGTGTATATATGTTTTTAGAAATGTGAAAATGTATCAAATTTACATAAAAAAAAAGAAAAAAAATAGAGATGTTGGAGTAAAGGGCACGGTATTGAACTGGATTAGAAATTATCTTTCTAACAGAAACCATATAACGAAAATTATTAATTTACTGTCATCATCTATTGATGTAAAATATGGAGTTCCCCAGGAAAGTATTTTGGGCCCACAACTACAATACCACGCTAAAGGATAACTTTTATGTTAACACCCAAATTAAAGCATTCAACACAAAAACATTTACTTTTAAGGGCTTTATTGATTATAACAATTTGCCAAGTTATATAAAGAGGTTCTAAGACTCTAAATCAATTTAAAACTCATTTAATTATTTATTTAAAAAAATATAGGTTATATTATTATTAAGCTTAATTATTAAACTGGTTAATTTCAATTGTATCTTATAGTTTGTATTGTTTTTTGTATTTTCTTTCTTTTCATAGCTATTTTACTCATGTAAATTTTATTCTTGTATACATTTTGTTTGCATGAATTTGACAGTTGTATAAATTATTTTTTTTGTATATTAGGTTGTATCCTACTTTTAAATAAAGATTATTATTATTAATAAGATTGGATAGGATTGTTTAAATTTTAACACTCTGCAACGTAAAAACTAGCCAGAGAATTAAAGTGGGCATATGGACATATTTTGGTATATAGGCCAAATACTACAATATATCCAAAATTTATGACATTCGACGGAAAGCCATTATGCATAAGAAAAGCGCGAGGTTCCTTGAAAACAAAATAATTTAAGCAAAATAAAATACATTTAAAAATATAAAGTTCCATTAAAAGAGAAAAGATCACATTTTGGAAAAAATACCAAATACATATTGTGTGCAACTTATTTTCCTTAATAAATAAAATAGATTGTATAAATAAACAGCGTCTGTGATTAAATTAACAAATTTAAGACTACAAATAAGATAGTAAGAGGCTATAAAAATAAATATAAAAGGAGATCACATTTGTATCCCAACATTCTTAACATACATCCGAAAAAAAAAATATCACAAAGCACATGCATACACTACAGGGTGTTCGATCCTTCAAAATCCATTGAAGAATTCGTTATTGAATTATAGTGGCGTGGACCTAGGCCATAATTATTATTTGTTTTAACTAAATATCTAGATAATATGTTTTATTAGTAACTGATATTAGACAAACACCCTGAGATAAATATGCATCTCAATTTAAACTTATCTGTCTAAATGAATTAATTATTGACATAAAATATACATTTACCACAATTAACAAATATTTATACTGAATTAACCATAATTATTGTTCTCCATAGGCGTTGTTTAATGCAAATTTTTATAATAAAAATCATTGTATATACATACAGGTATGAAATTTTCAACACGGAACACATACCTTACAAAAGGTTGAAACAAAGTTTAATAGGAACATGCAAATATCAGAGAGACCGCTTTTAGCGAACATCGATACAACTTCGAATTCTGCTCATATGTGAGGAGCAACAGCGGTATCTGTGCAAGTTCCTAGTATACCTTGTTCAACTATTTGGAAGGTACATGTTCCCTGTTGAAAATTCCGTACCTGCATGTTAAATTCGGTTATTTATAATCAGCTATTTAATTTGAACTATTTAAATATTATAATGCGATACCAGTTTTTATTGTGATGTTTTCAAATCGAATTATGGTTAAAAAATACTTCTGTGTACATTTTTAAATAAAAATATATAAATGGAGGGACACAAAAAACTGCAAAAAATTTCTGGAGAGCAGTTGTTTTACCAAAAACGCAAAGACCTCATTGTCCCGTCCTCTGCATTCACCCGATACCTGTTTTGTTTTGATCAGTGAAAAACCATCTCAATAGGTCATTGCACCAATCGGAGAGTTCTTTTAAGGTGACTGCAGTTTTAAAATGTAAAAATAAATAAACGATACGGCTTTTAATAATTTTTGTCCCTCCTTGTATAATACTGTGATAGACATTCTTATAAATAAAAATTAATAGTACCTATTTAAAAAAAAAAAAATGTAAATAAACTTTACTAATATTTATAAATAAAATTATTACATACTATTTGAGGTTTCTTTTTAACTCAGTCTTCTCATTAGTTGAATTAAAAATTTTTTTTTCACATAATTATTGAGCTCGAAAATATTTTGAACACAAAGAAATAATAGCGAATATTAAATTTGTTAATACTTTTAACAAAAATACATATATTTGACACACATAAAATAAAACCGAATAAAAACAGGCAATATTTTATTATTCCGCAATTTTTGTACCTTGAATTCTTATATAAATATTTGTTAATTGTATTAGGATTTTTCTACAATAAATAATGGGGGAATCTCACGACAGAGTTCTTAAAATGTAACATTTTCTCTTAATAAATATGTACGTTCATTTTTTTACATTACAAAGAGCCGAAAGGATCGAAAGTTACCTCTTGCTTTGGTGGAGCCACATTCATCTTTGGACTACCCATCATTGGTTGCTGCATGATTGAAAACTGATTAACCATTGGTTGCATAGGTTGGCCCATGGTGGGAATCATGGGTTGACCCATCATCTGCTGCTGTCCCATCATTGGCTGGCCCATAGCTTGTCCTACTGGTCTGTAACCAGGAGCATTCATGGGTTGACCTTGACCCTGCCAACCTCCTGAAGCGGGTTTTGCTTGGTTTTTGGGCGAATTCCATTGAGAACCTCTGTTTGCTAAAAAATTAATAACCTTCTTGTGCATTTCTAATATTTAATGAGGTAGGTGAGAAAAATATAGTGCACGAAGTACAGTTAATAGCAATGAAATTTTAAAGCAAAGGATTCGTTATGAAAAATATTTTATTTTTACTGATGTCATTGGCCCTGTTCATCGTCGTCAAACATGTTCTAAAAGCAAAAAAACATGTTTTATAAGCGGTTGGTATGCCGCTGAACGATAATTTTTGTTTACGATTTGTTTTCTCAACCTCAAACCTGTCAAAACCATTGAATGACATTTGGTTGGCACACAGGAGGTTATGTGTATTGTTTTCCTTATTATTTTTTAATAAGTGAATAGTTCAATTGATTTGTAGAGTTAATTAGAGTTTATATAGTACCCTTCTGTAAGTGGTTTTAACAATTTTAGCGAAAAACCTACAACTTGTATTATTTTGGGTTGTAAAGTCATGATATTTAATTTTTTATTGAGTCCCTGGATCTTGAATTCCACATACTTAGACTAATCAAAGAGTTTGTAACAGTCATTTTATTACACATAAAAACCTACTGTAACTAGATCATATTTTGAAGAGCGGAATGAGAATGCTATTTATTGTGTTTCATCAACTGACTGGTGTGCACCGATAAATTAAAGTAAAGGATCTTATGATACTGATAACATACATCTCAAAAAGTGATATTTTTACATGTAACAAGGATAAACAAAAGTGTATAGTAATAATAATAATAGAGATAACACCAAGTATGACTTTCTTATTTTTAGGGAAACTGAGCTTCTTCAAAGTTAGTAATCATTTAAACTGGATCAGAACATGAGGCATTTGTCTCAAACCAGTTCAAATCTAAAGTGTGATATCGACAGAAAAAATTGAGTTGAAAAAGGAGGAAGAGATAAAAATCAAAATCAACCTGAAGTTAACTTTTATTTTTGAGTCATACCTAACATCACCATATGTCCCACTTTGGGCGAGACAAACCCACTTTCAAGTTATGTGTACCATTGTCCACAAGAATGTCCCGCTTTAAAAGAAAAGGTGATCTGATGCAAAGCATTCTATCAAAAAAGAGTTATCTCATATGAATATGGGCTAGTGAAAAAACTTACCTAATTTGAGGTATCAGTATTGAAAGCCAAGCATAACAAACAAGTCACGTCTACAGTTCCATTCCTATTTAAAAACTAAAATATAGAAAGCCAGCCCTAAACAAGTTCTATTTCGCTTTCCTAATTCTTAATAAATAAATATAAAATATGGTATTTCACTTATTTTTAATATATTTTTTTAATTATATTATTGTTTTACTTTTACTACAATTTTACTGTTGTTATTCTACATAATCCCTATCTAATGCTTTACTTTTTTTTTACAAAGTATTTTTTATGTAGATACTTTGGTGTCATACATTTTTGGTCATTGCTAATATTTATTATGAGTTTAATTATTTTTATGTATTAATAAAATTTGTCTAGTACTATAGTTACACATACCTTGTTGACAAACTGCATAATACAGTAATTCATTTATAGAAATGATATATTTTGTATTGGAACTTAATAAATATACAAATTTAATGTTCGTCATATAGATTGACTTATTTAACTTAAAAATTATTTAAAATGTATATACAGTAAAGAGGTACCTATTTTTTTATAGTTCAACAAACCAAGGTGGGCCCTTTTTTAATATAATTACTTATATTTAATTTATTTTGTTAATATAATATAAATATAATTTTTCATGTTCAAACATATTTCAAATGAATGTGTGTAATAATTTAGAAAATAAAATTTCATACTTTTATTATTATTTATTTTTAAATATCCTATTTACATGACAACAACAAAAAAACATCTGCAGGTACATTATTTTCCTAATTGGCATATACAGCAGCACCACAAACTTCACTGTTACCAGCCATGCATGTACCTACAATGAGCATTTCCCTCGATGGATGTTTTACCTGAATTAAAAATTGTATTACAGAAAAGAATCAATTTATGTTCATATATTTCCCTTTAAACTAATTACTAATAAAAATTTCCAAAAATTAGTCTCAAGATTTACAACAAAAAATAAGTTCAGGCAATATGCCAAATGTCAAATTTAATGATTAGATATTTAAATTATCTGACAAGTTCAACCTGAATAAATAGAATAAACTCACCTTTCCAACCAGAATATGAAAATTATTTACAACTTTCGGTGCAGTTTTAATAACAAAACTCTCATCTGTTTTGAATAATAACTCTTTGCTAAAACTATATATTTATGTTATATTATCCATATTCCTTACTGGTGGAATCCCATTAACGTCCAAATAAAATAATTTAAGCGTACGTGTAGGTATCTACATCTGGAATTAATTTTATTTTCTTCAAACAGGTACCTCCATAAATAATATTTTATATTAAACTACAACTTATCGAACCAACTCTATTACAGTATAAAACCTTTAAAAATATAAACAAACACATAACCTAACAAAATGCCAAAAGACGGATTTGACAGCGGTTCGAGGTCAATTTTATGCTTTTAAAGCATAAAAGCGAGATAATCCAAAAGCGCTGCAGCGGTTCATCGTCACCGCTTACTCAGCATTACAACATGTTTGACGACGATGAACACGGCCATTGAAAAGAGTTTGGAACAAGCTTTCAAATGATGTATCACTTGCCATATGATCCCATTTAAAATTATCTTCCAAAACGACTCCCGTCCGCCATTTTTAATGATTACGTCACCTAATATCATTAAAAAGGTAGCATACATTTCTTAGTTGTTTCCCAAAATTTCAAATTTCTAACTTTTATGGTTCAAAAAATAAAAGGGGGGAGGGACTTTAGACCCGCACTGTATAAAGACCATTGTTAAATAGAACAACCTCTGAGAAACTGAGGACCACTGCAGAAATTGAAGCAAATAAACAATTGGGAGTATGTCGATTTGTCTGTAGGACAATCCTCATAACCCGTTTTTGGTAGGCATGATACTTGATTTAAATCAAACAAATAGATAACAGAAGAACAAAAATAAAAATGAGTAATAAACCTGATATTCTTATAAAATAATATTTTCTTATAATTTTTTTTAACATCAAAATGATTACCAAATAACAAAAGACTGTCAATATTAAAATCCAAGGTATTTTATGGACATTACAATTTCTATTTTATCATAATTTATTTTAAGGTTAATTTCTTTAATATTTAAACAATTGTACTTGTATTTTGTCGTAACATTAACCTAATGTCTCCATATTGCACTTGCCACAAAATAAATTTAGTAATAATGCATTCTTTTTTCCTTTTAAGTTCATTTTTGTTTTAGTTAACATAATATTACATAATGTATTAAATTACTAATAAAATTAGCTCTCAAATGAAGTGTCACACTTTACCATAGGTAATAATTTTTTATCTCGCTAGAGGACGCTAAAATTAAAAGGAACCCAATAAACATGACTATTGCTGAATTCCCCATAAAATTACCTTTCCGACGATGTGTCATACTTGGTACTTACCCTATTTAAATTGTATCGGTTAGTTTGACAAAGGGGAGAGGAATGACATATGACAGTTGAGGATATTATAGAAATAAAAATCGACCTGTTTTTGCGTTTTTTTTTTTCAAAAAAATTCTACTTCAAGATATTCTGAGATACGGCCAGTCGCCACCCTTAATGAATCACTCTGTATATTACCCAATACCTACGAAATTATGAATCCGATTTTACCGGAAATGCCATTAAGTTTATTTTTTAAAAAGAACATTTTATATTTTTTGGATCCTAAGATACAAATTACATAACATATGACAGTGTTGCCAAATTCTAATTTTTCTCAAACAATTTTTTTTAACAAATATACAAGACATAATTTTGAAATCACTCTTAATCTTAAACAAAATGGCCGATTTCCTGTTTTACCGGAAATGCAATCAAATTTAATTTTTTAAACAAATTTTGGAAATTATGGTTGCCAAATTCTAATTTTTCCAACTTTTTTTAGTGGAAAGTCATCAACTGGAAAATAATGTTCTAATTAGTGCATGATGCACATTGTCAGATTTTTAATAAAATTTGCCATCTAATTGCGAAATAATGTCATTTAAAAACAAGTGAGATTTTGGTAAAAAAGATGTTTTAGAAATACATTTTTTATCAGATTTATTTTAAACTCAATTGGAAAAATAGCTATTTTTTGAAGGTCATTTAAGGCTAATATTGTTTATCCAGCTTATGGCCATCTCAAAAAATAAAAATAAACAGTTTCGTAAAAAAGAAAATGTCATATGTAAATTGAACCATAGATGCCAAGAAAACAAAATATATAGTGATCCATTTAAAAAATGAAACTTAATGGTATTTCCAGTAAAACCAGAAGTCAGCCAGTTTGTTTAAGTGCCAATTCAAAATTATGTCTAGTGGATGCCCAGCTTGGAACTACTCCAAATCCTAAACTTCCATTTTAAGACATCAAGATTATTTCCCTGTCGCCTTAGAGACATAAAGGGGCACAGTAGATCTTTTAGGTCGCAGTGTATCTGTTACTCCCATAAAAACATAAGCAATTTTAATTTGGTTGAATTTTAAATAGAAATCAGGAATATTTTTTACTTGCATATATTTGTTATGTTCATATGTGTTATTTGTCAAGCTCAAATCAGTGAAATACAATGTTTTATCAAAAATAGGAAATTGATAGAGGTTTTTATTTAAAAAGCAGTTCAAGGTTACTATTAGTAACAAAATATGTTTACACTAATTGTCAATAACCTCCTAGTCAAACTATATATTTAATATATATATTACACCTCTTTGTTTATAGAAAAGACATGTATTTTTTTTATAAAATCAGGTCATTTACTTGGAAATTAAAAATATATATCAAAAATTAATCATTTGAATACATATAACCTATATTTTTTTAAACTAATTACTTTTTGATATTTGTAAAATTTAATTTTTTATTAATGAAATTAATGTATGTTTAATTTTTATTAAATCTACTTATTTACAGCTTGTTATAATTTCATTGCAACAAAATAGCATCAACTAAAAATAATGTGATTAATTTTATCAGTCTTTATCTGCTGTAAACCAAATCATTTATTGTTTATCAAAATGAAAAATAAAAGTTTATCAAAAAATGACGAATACTAATTTTTAATGGAAATATTACTATTGTATTCTTGTTGAATTTATCATTACCAATAAAATTATGTAATCATACATTTTAGTTCTGCATCTAGTGGAATTATGAAACAAAATAGATCCAAATAAGAATGATTTGGAAAAATATAAAAACAGTTACATGTGAAGCCAAAGATTGAATCAGCCATTTAGTTTAATAAAATTGAGACACATAAATGTATAATAAAGTATCCTTGAGGATAATAAGGAAATAAAGCTATTATTATTATTATTTCAGATATTATATTATTTAAAAATGGTATTTAAAGTCTCGGTTTATGCCTTCAAATTTTATACAAAGTATTCACAGTAAACAAATAAGTTTGGTGTGTAATGAAAGAGTACTTAAAAAAAATGTAGTATTCCCTAAGATCTAGCAATCTAACAATATTTACCTGAATCCATAGTCAAGTTTTCAACTAAAGATGTCAAACTAGACTCCAAGTCTCCAGTAAGTATCTTAGCAGGTGCTGCTTTTGCAGGCTGTGGAGCAACGGCCTGCTGTGGAACAATCTGGGCACTCTTGGTGGCACTAATATCACCTAAGGGATCGAAAACTGAGGGCTCATTAGTATTAAAGAATCCACTTAAGTCGTTTGCATTTCCAAAGGGTTGAGCTTGAAGCGTGGGCTGCTGCTGGAACACATTTGCTCCACCAGCAAACCCATTGGCCCCCCACATATTAGAATTAATATTATTGTCAGTAGCTGTTGTGGTGGTAGCAAATGTATCTGTGGCACTAGTTGTGGGTGCTCCAAAATCGGCAAAAGGGTTACCTCCCAGGGAAAGAAGATCATCTAATGCATTGGAAGATTGTACAGGCTTATTTGGTTCTGGAACACCTGAAAACATATGATTAGATATTAAATCTTGAATCTCATATTAAATTGCATTTTATTACCTGTACCACTAGAAAATAAATCCAGGATTGGCTCGGCTTTCACAGTAGGTTCATCACTTAAGAAAGGATTGGTACTAGCAGCAGTTGGTGATCCAATATTTGCTCTATAATGATTAAGGGCTGCCTCTTCCTCAGCCACTGCAGCTTGTTTAAAAGAGTCATCAACAGCAGTACCAAAAGCATTACTGGTGTTTGATAAAGCAGAAACTCCAGACTTAACATTCTTTTGTGTAGTAATAGCTGTAGGGGTATTTCCTTCTAATGAAGCCAAGTGCTGCTCAAGAGCATCTAAGAGACTGTTGGGAGCTCTTGTCAAATCAGGAATATCTCCTTTATCTATTCCTATATTTTCTGCTACCTTTAGGAACTCTGCTACTCTGTCCATTCTAATCAAGAATTTTTTGTACAAATCTAAGGCCTCTCTGCATTGTTTTTTATTCATTTCAAAGTATTTTTCTAATAGATTAATGACGCCATCATTGTAACATGCAAAAAGCCTTATAAGATCACGAAATAGAAGCATGAAACACATATTTATTACTCCATTAGTGAGATCATTTGCAGTGCAGTCAAATTCAAGTAGAGCATCTAATTGATTTTGTAGAATTGGTAAAGTTTTGAGTAAATTTTCTGTATTCATGGTTCTCAAAGTACCCTCCTCCTTGCCTCGTTTAACTTTACAAAAATCAAAAGCCACTGATCTGTAAGATAGAGCCTTTTCATTTAAATATTTAGCATACCTTCTAATAAATGGTGACATATCATATCCAGTCCTTGCTCCTACAGCACTCTGAACTCCTGTCTTGTCCACAAAATTTGAGAGTTGAAAGGACACATTACTAGATGCTAAATATTGCGTAAATCTCTCATTTCCGTAGCACATAATGTGATGTGTTGTAATTAAAGCTTTATAAACCACTATCCAACTAGTACTCTGAGATCTTTCTATTAATAAATTAGCCATTTGAGGAATGGAAACGTTGGGCTCATTGGTGCAGTGAATTAAATAATCCAAATGTTTTTTCTTAGGGCCTAACATTTCTTCTGTTGTAGCCTTACATACTGATTTTGCAAGACCCTGTCCTGCTATGCTGTGTTTTGCTGCTAATAGACGGTCATTTATTGTTTGTCCAGCCATTTTCTCCTTTAAAATATTGCACTAACTCACGATATTTTTTTATCTCTAAAAATAATCACTCAAAAAATTTACACTAGGTCGATCATGTATGAAGTAAGAAGTAAGGCCGGTGACAGCGATCAATACAACAAAAATTCAAAACTTAACAGTGCCAACAACACAAAGGATCTAAAATGTGTCAAGGTTAACGAATTAAATCCACAATTTTGATTTTATCTAAAATATTTACTGAGTATCTAACTAGATCCCAATATTTAAAAATAAATCAATTTATAGGTATTTTTTTTCTGCAAAATTTTTTATTTTTTTTTTAACTGCATATGTTATCAAGCACCGGACCAAACCAAGACCAAATACAGACACCATACAGACACTAAAAGCAGTGGCGTCTCCAATAAGTAGATTAGGACATCGAAAATATTTAAATATTTTTTAAATTCTTGTTGGCAAAAAATAATCTAGTTAATATTTGGAAATATTTTATTATTGAGAGAATTGGTTGTAAAATTATGTAAACTTATCAGTTAAAATCCCAATGCATTGGAAATCTCCAATTAACAAATCCCAATATTACCCTCTTGGGGGACAGTTCTTCCCGCGGACAGATTTTTTTCAATTTTTCATTAAACTTGTTTTTACCTTGGGGGTTCGAGAATAATTTTCATTATTTCGTAGGGATAATATATTGGGATTTTGTTTTCCATGTTAACTTGCTGTCAAAGGTGAGGCACTTCACTTCTGTTGCACAGTTTAGTTTTGTGTTTATTAGCTCTGGAGATTTTAATTAAATTTTCTTCATTTTCTTTATGAAAATGACAATTTCTGTCTTCTTGGGATTGATAGATACTGAATCGTCCTTGCACTACTGTTCTATAATTTCAGAACTACTTGCATTCTTTCGTAGAGTATGTTCTGAAAATTCCCCTATTTGCCGAATGATCAGGTCATCTGCATACGCTATTGTGTAGTGACTGTCATTATTGGGGCGGCTGATGAGGGTGTCGAGGACCATGTTTCACAGTAGAGGTGATAGCACCCCCCCTGTGGACATCCCCTCGCAACCAAGCCTCTTATATTCACATCTTCTAAACTTTACTGTTTTACTGTTCGCTTTAACACCATGTTATGTACCTACCCACCCACTAACCATCTGTGGAATATTCCTGTTGGTTAGTGAGTGTATTATCTTGGGAAAAGTGGTTTTGTCAAAAGCACCTTCTATATGAAAACACCCAAGGCGGAGTCCTTATTGTCCAGGGGATCTCTGTATCCGGCAAGCAACTAGGTGAAGGGCTGAATCAGTAGATATGCCTGGGGTGTATGCATGTTGATTTGGGAGTAGTGGTATTGTTGTAATCAACACATCCCTTGTACCTTTCGCATGGCCTTTCCGATGTCTTCATGGAAAACGATGCGAGACTAATTGGTCGGTATGTTTTTGGGACAGTGTATTGCATCCTTCCAGGTTTGGGTATGGAGACCACTTACCTCTCTCCATTTTTGGGGATATACCTCAGAGCCAACGAGGATCTGAATATACCCAACAGGTACGGTGAGTATACGTTGTGAGTTCTTCCAAACCCCACTGAAGTACGGCTGGATAGATACCGTCAGGTCCTGGCGACTTAAATGGAGAAAAGCTAGATATTGTTCATCTAATATTGTCATTGTCTACAATGTGTTTGACCGAGTCAGGGAAGTGTGTTGACAGCAGTTTGATGCTATCTTCGAGGTTGGCAGTTTTCATGCTATCCTATTGTATTAACGCACCAATGCTGCAGTGGATCTCTTGAGAGAGCCTTTTAAAGTCTTGCTACCTGCGGAAAATGTTCGATTTTTTCGCAGTAGGATCTCAATGCATCTCTCTTTTTTTGTCTAACGATTTTTTGTATTTTCTGAGGTGAGATTTGTAAGGACCGATTCCACCGTTGTGATAAACGAAGTTTAAAATGACATTTTTACATTAACAATGTCATTTTAATCTCCGTTTAACACAAACGGTGGAATCGGCCCTAATTAAGTATCCCAGTCCTGTTTGAGTTTTGTGGTTCTTGTCTTATTAAAGGATTTACTAGCCATCTTCATCTTCCTGAGGTGATTCAACTCGTGACACCACCATGCGGAGTATTATTAGAGTATTATTACTGGACACAATTTTTTTTTAAGACTCCAAAATTTTTTATCTACATTTCTACACTCATCGGAATAGGTCTCAATTAAGAAGTGGTTTAAGTGTTAATAAGCAGAATATTATCCACATGAAAAAGAGTAGGTATTCTCAAAGTCATAAATTTTTGCAAATGATGTATAAAAAGTTTAATGTGAACGTGATTGTGAAAAGTCTTTTTTCTGATTTTATCGAAATTACACGTTAGACTGTAACTCCAGCATACATGCACATAAATGTATTATTATCTTTCTATGAAATATATTTCTACATAATTTGCATTATTATTTATTCAAGCCAGATTATATCCGCTGTCATAAAATCCAACTTAACATACACCGAGACATACGTTATTTAAAAATAATTTTATTAATAATAAAATTTAAAAAATATAAAAATAAGAAAAAAATATTCTATAAAATGTAAAATATTATCTTCTGAGAAAAATTTTGGGGACACCACTGATAAAGTGGTGTGAAGTTAGTCACGATCTTCTTTTATATTTCGCCTTTAACAGTAAACCATATCCATTCAACTCTTCTGACTTAATTATGTCTTTGCTATTGTAGCTAACGAATATTTAAAATTGACACATGGGCGGCCGGGTGGCTGTATATGTGGTCTTGAAAATGATGTGTTGGCCGTAAATGAGTGGTTAGATTAGAAATAATTTTTAAGTGCCGTAAAAACGAAAAGCAAAATGAAACACTTATATTTATTACTATTTTTTGCATTATTAATTGTTCTCAATGTTACCGGCCAACAAAAAAGACAGGTAAATACTGGATATACTATTTTTAGATAGATTTATTTCTATAGTTTTGATTAAGATAAATTTTAAAGTACAAAATTCTTTTCCATAATTAATTTGCACTTCCTATTCATAATTCATAAAGACAAATGTTTTTATTTTTGTTTTATTTTTCAGTCTCACAATATGGCTGAAAGAGTGCAGCAACTCACAGATATGGCTAATAAGAGAGCTGTACTGAGATTCAATGCCAACAGGTTCAAAGATTTTGTGAAATCCACTCCCAGAAACTACTCAGTAGTAATAATGTTCACAGCTATGGCCCCTCAAAGGCAGTGCCAAGTATGCAGACATGCTAGTGATGAATTTACCATTGTTGCAAACTCTTTTAGATACTCTCAAGCTTATTCGAATAAATTGTACTTTGCTGTTGTTGATTTTGATGAAGGATCCGATGTCTTTCAAATGGTAAGTATTTTGTTTTCAGAAATGTTTATTAGTATTATTAATTGTTTAATTGTGTACAGTTAAGGTTGAATACAGCTCCAGTTTTTATACATTTCCCTCCAAAAGGAAAACCAAAGACTGCAGATACCATGGACATTCAGAGGATAGGTTTTGCAGCTGAAACTATTGCTAAGTGGATACATGAAAGGACTGATATACAGGTAAAAAATATTTGTAGATAAGTATCAACTGATATTTGATAATTACATTTTATGTTTTAGATCAGAGTTTTTAGACCACCAAATTATTCTGGTACCTTTGCTCTGATAATACTCTTTGGAATTGTAGCAGCATTCTTGTACTTACGTAGAAATAATTTAGAATTTTTATACAACAAAACCATGTGGGGAATGGGAGCTCTCTTCTTTTGTTTTGCTATGACATCTGGCCAAATGTGGAATCATATAAGAGGTCCACCTTTCATCCATAAAAATCAAAATGGACAAATTGCTTACATTCATGGATCATCTCAAGGGCAGTTTGTGTTTGAGACTTATATTGTCATGTTTTTGAGTATCCTTTTTTTTTTAATATTTTTACATTCTTTACTATACAAGGTTTGATCAAATAATTTGGAGATTGAACAAATTAAGTATCTGTTCCTTAATTATTAAAATTAGATGCTGCTGTTGTTTTGGGAATAATTCTCTTGACTGAATCAGCAAGAGGTAAGGGAGATCCAAAGAGACGTAAAATTTTTGCAATCGTAGGATTGATTCTGCTATCTGTTTTCTTTTCTTTGTTATTATCTGTTTTCAGGACAAAGACGCAAGGTTATCCTTACAGGTAAAGAAATATATATTTTTTTAAATTTTATAATATACATTGACCTTATTTGTGTTATTTTTCTAGTTTCCTCTTTAAATAGCCCTAAAGAAAAATAAGAAGAGGAAATGAAATTGAATTATGATGTTATGAACTTTATTAGATAAAGTTTTGTTGAATAAAAAGTTTTTTTTTATTTCTTTGCAGTTTTATTTATACATAGCTATGTTCGTGGAGCGGATTCCGAACATATTCTGAACGCTAATGTGAAACTTACACTAAATATTGTAACTGGATTTGTATTGTTTAAAGATTTATGTAGGCGTGCAATGTTAACTTTAGCGTTCAAAATACGTTTAGGATCGGCTATGCGAATATAGCTAATATATTTAAGTCAGTTTTTTATTTAATGTTTCTGTAAATACCAGGAACAAACTCAAAAATTGCTGTATTTTTAAATTATATTAGTAAGATTTTATTCCACGTTTTTGTATCATAATCTCAGAATTTTATTAAAAAGGGGTACTGTTTAAAACTTATCGAAATTTCAGGATTTGCTGCCAGGATTTTTTTTGTGTAAATAGTTAAAATCGACTGCAAGATTGACATACTTTTAGTGAGGTTTAGTGTGTTTGAAATGGTATAAAAAACCTTTTTCCGGTCATTTCTAAGAGCAGAAATCGTTAAAATTTTCATAGATTAACCATACTCGTGGACAGAATTAATGCAAACATATGAATTGTTGCCCGATTTAGTAAAATGTGTTAATTTTATCTAGGGGTATATTTACATTATTCATTACTGTATAATTGGTTGTCTAACTTTAATTCCCAAAACCTGTGCCCAATTTTGTCGGACAGCTACTACTATTAGGCATTCCAAACAAATGAATTACCAGTGGGCAGGTTTGGTATATCTAAGGGTGGCGACATATGGTGTATTCTAGATACTTTACGTAAAATCATGAATAATGGATTACATTTAAATATTTTATGTCAAACACAATAAAAGTAATATTTAAAAAACCCACCTATACATTTCTTCATAAATTGGCAGGCTTGGCGAGTACTACTTCGAATAAAAATAGCGTCAAAGTTGCAAGACTATGTCGCTACCCCCTTAAATATACAAGAATTTCCCACTGGCACATATTGTTTGACAGGTTGTTGGAATGCCTAATTAGGCATTCCAAACAAATGAATTACCAGTGGGCAGGTTTGGTATATCTAAGGGTAGCGACATATGGTGTATTCTATCTACTTTACGTAAAATCATGAATAATGGATTACATTTAAATATTTTATGTCAAACACAATAAAAATAATATTTAAAAAACCCACCTATACATTTCTTCATAAATTGGCAGGCTTGGCGAGTACTACTTCGAATAAAAATAGCGTCCAAGTTGCAAGACTATGTCGCTACCCCCTTAAATATACAAGAATTTCCCACTGGCTCCTATTGTTTGACAGGTCGTTGGAATGCCTAATTAGGCGGAAGATGGCGCCAGGAACTTTAAAATTTAGGCAGTGGCTCCGTGTCCGATATCGGATTCGCAGCTGTGCGTTCTCGACGTCTGACATCGGACATAGAGCTTCAAATTCTGTATGTTCTTCGGCGTGCTGCTGTCTTCCTTATGGTTTAAGTAATTATTCATGGCTCGTATTTGTTACGGCGAATACCTAAAGGGGTTTCCACAAGGTTTAATTAGGGGAAGGAGGGTGAAGATGACGCGGAGTCAAAGATGACGCATCTAATTATTTCTTAATTCAAACCATAGAGCGACCTAGTTGTCTGGCAGCGCAATCCATAATAATCTATTGAGTGTCTATATTAAATAGCAGCCTTCTCCTGCGCCGGTCAGTATGAGTTTGTAAGCGAAGTGTGTGACGCATTTATGTTATTAGGTGACTCTGATGTTACATTGAAAGGTAAGCCGTTAAGCTATAATATTTTAGTTCTAATTTCACATAATGCTTTCGAGTGAGTAGTTTTCTATGACTTAAAGATGTTTTCATAATTATCTATTGATGATAAAAGATATTTATAATAATATTTGTATTATCGTGTTGTATTGGTTAAGATGACGCAGTGTGCGTCATGTTTCCCGTCTAACCTGCGCCATCTTCTCCGACAAGCATTTATATGGGACCTAAAATTATTTTATTTACAGATGCCGGTCAAATATAATAGAAAAACTCAAAGGGGAAATTATTCCTCAGAAAAAGTGAATGCTGCTTTACACGAAATAGTTGCAAATAGTCGAAAAATTCGAGAAGTGTCTAGATCGTTTGAAGTTCCTGAAGCTACTTTAAGGCGAAAATTGAAATTAAAAAATAAACAAATCCAATCGAAATCTCAGTCTTTAGGAAGAGCTGCCGTGTTTTCACTTATTCAGGAAAAAGAAATCGCCGATCATGTGATTATGCTGGCTAAATTATTTTTTGGCTTAATGTCTATAGAATTAAGAAAAATTGCGTTTAAGTATGCGGAAAAAAATAATATACCAAACACATTTAATGCCGAAAAACAAATGGCGGGTAAAGATTGGTTGCATCGTTTTATGAGAAGAAACCCACAAATTTCATTACGTAAGGCAGAAGCTACTAGCATTAATAGAATAACTGCTTTCAACAAAAGTGAAGTCGAGCTTTTTTTTGCTAATTTGGAAAGAATGCAAGAAAAACATAACTTTTTACCTGATCGAATATTCAACGTCGATGAAACTGGTATATCCACGGTTCCTAATGAACATCAAAAGAGACTTGGACCAAAAGGAATCAAACAATTTGGTATTGTAACTTCTTGGGAACGTGGTAAAAATACAACAGTTATTGTATGCATGAGTGCAACGGGCACTTTTATACCACCGTTATTCGTATTTGCCAGAAAACGGATGAATCCACTATTAGGAAAAAATGGACCTACCGGTGCAATTTATACATGCTATGAAAGTGGATGGAGCAACGAAAATATTTTTCTTATGTGGATTAAACATTTTCAGGCAAAAGTTTTATGCAGCCAGGATAACCCAGTATTACTGGTGTTAGATAACCATAGTAGTCACATTTCTATTGAAATATATGAATTTTGCAAGAATATGGGAATAATTATGGTATCAATTCCGCCACACACATCTCACAGGCTACAGCCATTAGATGTAACATTCTTTGGCCCATTTAAAAATGCTTTTAGCCAACAGTGTCATGTATTTTTAAAGTCAAAACTGTACAATTCCGAATTCGAAAATAAAGTAACTCCTTATGACCTTGCTGAAATTTTTAAACTAGCCTATGAGAAAGTTGCGAATATAGAAAAAGGAGTTTCTGGATTTAAAACATGTGGAATATTCCCTATAGATTCTACCAAATTTACAGATTCTGACTTTGCTCCTGCAGAAAACTTCAATAAAACAACTGATACCATTATTGCCAATTCAACCAACAACAAATAGACGTTCTCCAGACATACATATCAAGCATCAACAAGCAGACAATCTCCAAATACGCAGCAAAACCATCAACAAGCAGACAATATCCAGACATACATCAACCATCAACAAGCAGACAATCTCCAATTCATACAACACCACCAAAGGAGGTATTGTCCAATATATCTAATTCCCCGATGAAAAAACATGTACCTATTCAGATAATTTCACCAATACCAGTTATCCCAGGAAAAAAGAGAAAAAATTTACGTCCTCAGCAACATTCTGAAATTTTGACTAGTACTCCATTTAAAGAAGTTTTGGAAGAAAAAGATAATAAAAAAATAATAAAAATAAACAAAGCAAACGCAACCAAGAGAAATTTGACAAACTCGTCAAAAACTAAAGAAAATCAAAAGGACAAACCGAAGACAAAAGAAAAGACTCTAACGAAAACCAAAAAAAGAACTAAAAAGATTATTATAGAAAGCCAGAGTGATGAAGAGAGCTACGATGATAAAGAAATATGTGATGATGATGAACTAGATGATGTTAGTGGTGAGGGGGAAATATGCACAGTATGTTGTGACTTCGGCAAACATAATGAAGTATGGTTCCGATGTACACGTTGTGGACTTTGGTCCCACAAAGCATGTACAGGTGCTGACAGTCCAGATAAAACTATATTTGCGATTTTTGTCTTAGTTAAAGTCATGTTTTAATGTTTAATCGTATGTGTTCCTGTTTTTTTGTATGTTTCATGTTTAACTGTATGTTTAATGTTCAATTATATGTTCAATGTTTGACTTTTATTATTTGCGTCATCTTATCCGCCACGGTGCGCCATCTTTTCCTGCATGGAGGAAAAGATGGCGCAAATCCACTTTTTTTTGTTTTTCCTGTAAAATGTATTAGGTTGGTCAGACAACAAAAATAACCGGACATTGACAGAAGCAATTGATTACTTTATATATGCATTGTATTTAAACTTCCATTTTTACCTTACAGCCTAAAATAATATAGTATTTTCTTAAGTGCGTCATCTTCACCCCCTTTCCCCTAACCAATTTTTTCCCGGACCTTTAAATTTGCATATTCTCAAATCGACTGATCATTCTTCCAAGACGCTCACCAACTATTTTTCTTTCTCGTAAAAAAATATTTTTATTCTGAACATAAGGTATAGGGTGACCATATTTCTGTTTGACCCAATGCTAGACGCGAGAGGTGCGACGACCTTTTTCTTAACTCTTCAACCCAAAGATAAAAAACAGAATCATGCAGAGTTTTACGTTTCAGTAAATTATGTATCACATATTACATTTGCTGGACAATAACTACGTTTTTTTAGACAAATACGGCGATTGGACAAATATGGCGTTACTGTACGTTTGCCGTACAAGACTGTACAATACATAAGGGGCAACCTAACATAATAATTATTACGATACGTTTGTAAAACATAAAATCTAGGAGAAGTTTGGTATACAGCTAGCAGTCCACTCAAAAACTGCATCGTTAGAAATTGAGTGTTTTTTAATACTGTTTGACGTGCAACATATAACTCCTTTAAAAGAAGTCATTGTTTTTCTCTTACATGTTTTTTTTCATATAATTTTTATTAGATATGAATGTGATTAAGTACCTACTGTATACCTTTTAAGTAAATTAAATTTTTTACCTCTATTGAGTCAGGCAGATTTCACTGAAGGCACCCACCTTATTATTATTATAAAAAATGTTAAATGTTTATTATAATTATATATTATTAAATC